TTAACGTCCCAGACCATGGAAAGCAGAAGCCCAGAACATGGCTGGTGCAGTGTCTGGAAGATGAGACACCTGCATCCATCCATCTGCCTGGAGCACTCACCTCTGCTGGACCAGCAGCTCCTCCTGCTCTGACCAGAGACCCAGACCCAGAGTGTCCAGAACTGAGATCCAGGCAGGGAAACAACACCAAAATTCAAGACATATCAACAGAAATTCAGCACAGAAGAGAATTAGCCCCATTCCCTGGTGGGTGGTATTGGGCAGACTGGCACAGGAGTCCTGCTGGGACGTGGGGAGGTGGGAGCCTTGGGATGGGCAGGGGGCACCAGATCCACACCAGGTCTACACTGGAATCAAGAGGCAAACAGGTGAGCAAAGTTATAAAGGTGCTGCAGAGTACCACTGCCAGAATGGGGGAGCTCTGTGGGAATAAAGCCACGTTTGGGGCCACTTTGGCTGTTGGCTCTGTAAAACATTTCCTTGCATTCCCCTGAGACAGGCCAGCCCTCACCAACACACTCACACACCAGAGGGATGCAGCCCGGGTCTGTCACTTGCTGCCATCAGCCCTGTGCTGGGGAAGGCACCAGCACCCAGTGCCAGCACCCAGGTCTGGAGGGCACAGGGTGCCACCAAGGCTGCCACACTGGGCACACCACAGCCCAGCCCCCAGCTCGTTCAGCTGTCAGCACTGTGCATCAATAACCTCAGCCTGAACACAGGTAATTGTCCCGTTAAGCTGACTTTGGCAGGAAGAAATCCAGCCTGGCACCAGCTGGGCTGGGACAATGTGCTTGTCCTTGCTGTCAGCTCGTGGCAGCGGGGCCAGGAGCAGCTGGATCCCAAGCCACGAGCAAGCAGCAAGAGGGAAGGGGTGGCTGCACACAAGGCTTGTCCCCAAAAGCCCTGTGAACAATGTATAACTTCTTACAGGAAATAATCATTTATATCATTCCCATGGACTTCAGTTGCCACACCAGGGAGGAGGGAAGGCATTAGTCATGCACTAGCAGATGTTTTGACTTACGTAAGACTAAATTTTTTTTTCTTTATTTCTTTTAAGAAAAAGGCTGCATCTCACCTAGAGCCTTCTTGAGAGCATGCTCACCCTCAGCCATTGCCACGGCCTCACAAGCTCAGTGCTGCCCTGCTCCACGGCACAGCTCTGCCAGCTTCAGCACGTGCCCAGTCTTTGCTAAATATCTTATTCTTATAAAGGCTGTCTTGAAGGGGGTAAAAAAAAATGGACGCAGCAACAGTTCAGAGACAGAAATGCAACAGAAGTTCCATCAGAGTTCAGCAGCAGCAGGTGGGGGGTGGGAAATGCAGCCAAGGACAATTATTTCTTGTCAGCCGAGACACATCCAGGAGGGAAACAAGCCCTTGGCTTTGGGTGGGATAGGGAGGTTTGGGCTGGTGACCAGCACGGCTGACAGCCCTTTGCTGGGCCAGGCACAGGGAGCTCTGGCCAGGCTGAGAGCCCACCCAGCCCCATCCTCAACGCACGAGCTCCCTGGGACAGCAGCCAAAGGATCTGCACCAGCTCCCAGCCAAGCTCTCACTCCTCAAACCTCCGAGTGCCCCAGGCAGCTGCGCGTCCTAATGAAGAAATTTATCTTCGTTAGATAGCACCGGACACGTTTGCATGCCCAGAGATGAGCCTCATGCTGATGGGGCTGGGCTGGAATTAGGAGCTGCCAGAGGGTGCCTGGCCTTTGGAAGCTGTCAGGAGGGCGTTATTAGATTTAAAGGTCTGGGATAAGCTTTGCTCCGGAGCTGGAGCTTCATTTGCAACACACAAACCTCCTCTGACTTTGCAGCACCAAGGAGTCCAAGCCCAGGTCTCTGGAAGATTCCTGGGGAGGGAAGAGACATCTCTGTGGAACACAGCAAGGCTGGTTTACCTGCAGTGCTTATGCTGATCTGATGCATGAGACATTTAAAGTCCAGCAAATTACACTTTTATCCCAATAAACACTTCAACCAAGCTGTTTCAACAGCTGCTGCCTCCCACCCCACAAGCAAGGGAAGTGATCCCAAAGGGCAGCAGGAATGTGGTGCTGTTTTCCAGCTGAGCTGGGATCATAAAAAGATTTCCAACTGCTCCACAGTATTTACAGAAGATGGATAATGCTGCAGTCTCTCAGGCCTGCTAAAGTCTGGTTTCCAGTGTTTCTACAGTGAGGCTGTAGCTGCATATTAAGGGGAAATAAAAAAGTTCTCAAAAGTTGGGTAAATACTCCTATTTTCATTGTGTGCCTGCAGCCAGCTCAGGTACAAGACAGCTCAGCACAGCCTCCCAGGGCGGGGGTCACTCAGCCCTGGCTGCTGCAGGTCCTGCTGGAGCCCAGGGCAGGCAGGGCTGGGGACAGTGGGGGCACAGGAACACTCCAGACACCCAGCACGTCAGCACTGGTCAGCCAGGGCAGGGCTCCACTCCAGGGACATGGGGACAATGGCTTGGGCTGGAGCAGGGAGCGAAACATTCAAAGAAAAAAACCAAAATTGAAACCAAGCTCAGAATGCACCAAACCACAGCAGCACTGGCTGTGCCAGCACTGTCCCTCCCACGGCTGATGAGCTATCCCTGGGCAGGGCCAGGCAGCTGACAGCTGAAAAACACTCGGCCAGTTTCAAGAATCAGTCTCATCTGGCAAGTGTTTTCTCCTCTGCACAGGAAATCAGACATATGCTGGCAGGGAATGCCTCCAGACCCACGCACACAGGAAAACCTCTGCCACGTGCCTGGGGCTGGGGTCGCTCCTGCTGCCCTGCCCCGGGGGCTGAGCTCTTGGGCAGCCCCAGACACCAGGGGTGCCACGGGCAGAGGGGATCAGGCAGGAAAAATGGCCCTAAACGGCCCAGCAGGGCATGGTCCAGCCACAAACAACGAGGGTGCAATAAATCTACACCTTAGCAATTAATATCCACCCTCCAAAAGCCAATGTAACAGAGCATCTCTCAAATGCTCACAAGAGCAGGGAGCTCCAGGAAAGACAGAGCTGCTGCCCAAAGGGATCTGCAGCCACATCTGAGCTGAAACAGCAGCAGGGGCTGCAAAACCCCTCTGAGCTGGGATGATGGGGTCAGCCACTGCCCTCAGGTGGCCTCAGACATCCCACATGGCCCTGGCTCCCACTGGGAAGGAATGGTCCTCTCTGCACCCTGGGCTACAGGCTGGCTCCCCGGTGTGGCCCATGGCTGTGCACAATGCCAGGCTCAGGGCAGAGCCATTCCCAGGGCAGAGCCATTCCCAGGGCAGAGCCAGTTCCAGGGCACAGCCCTGCCCAGGGCACAGCCAGTTCCAGGCCCGAGCCAGGCCCAGGGCAGTCAGACTCAGAGGCCACGGGAGGGACAGGGAGCCATGCACAGCTCCTGCCATGAGCTCACAGCAGGCTCTGGGCACCCACAGCACACAGCTCTGTTTTAGTTTTAAACATCAATGGAAAATCTTTACCCAATTTGCTGAAAGCAATTCAGTGTCTTTGCACACGAAAAAAATTACTAAAATGTATTAGCAATTTGGGTTATTTCATTCAGTCAGCAGGACTGAGAGCACTTGTCTCACTTTGAGCCCAGCTTCAAAGCACTAATCACGAAGTTCTGCATCATTTCCCTTACATTTCATTTCTGTGTCATTTTTTCATTCATTAGCTATGAGTGTGACAGGTGCCAGAGTGCCCTTAGGTGTCCCTTGGAGCACACAGAGGCTCCTGGATCCATCCATACTGAACTGCTGGACCAATCCAAGTGAAAGGCAAGTCACCCACAGGCCTTTCCTTGGCAGTCAGAGATGACTGGAGGCAGCTGAGAGCCCTTCCATCCCCTCGGGGTCCCAGTGAGGTGCTGGTGAGGCAGACCCAAGGCATCTGCCCCCCAGCCCTTTCTGTCCGCCTCCGCGCCTGCATTTAAGCTGTTTTTAAGCAGTTTTCCGTTTGATGCAATTCCCTGCCCGCATCCCCCTGAAGCGGGATGGGAGGAGCCGGTCCCTGCTCGGCCGGGGCTCTGCCTTGTGCCCCATCGCAGCAGCATCCAGCGCTGCAGGCTCCCAGCGAGGAGCACCCAGCACCAGGCGAGGCGGCGCTCGCACTCTCTCCAGCCAAAAGGAATTCCCGACTTCAGAGGGAAACCAACACACGCGGCAGAGCGCAGCAGTGTGGAAAGGTAATTTAAATGCAAATGCCGCAATCGGCCCACAGGAATTAATAAATGCGTTCCATTTATTGTTCACGCTTAGAGTTAATGATTATTGCACCTCACCTGGGTAACTGGACCCTCTGGAGAGAATCAGGTATTCATTTCAGTTCAGTCAGTCAGTGACAGCCCGCGCTGCACTTTTGCCCGGAGGAGAAGGGAAAGGAAAAGAGGAAAAGGAAGAGGAAAAAGGAAAAAAAAAGGGAAAAGGGAAAAGGGAAAAGGGAAAAGGGAAAAGGGAAAAGGGAAAGGAAAGGCAGCGGTCCGGTGCCCCCCCCGCGGGCGCTCGGCCCGGCCGGGCGCGGGGCGCTGCTGCCCCCTGCTGGCGGCGGGCGGGCACCGCGGGCACCGCGGGACGGGCGGGCACCGAGCGCGCCTGGCACACACCGGGAGCGCCTGGCACACACCTGGCACACACCGAGCGCGCCTGGCACACACCGGGCACACCTGGCACACACCTGGCACACACAGAGCGCGCCTGGCACACACTGAGCGCGCCTGGCACACACCTGGCGCACACCGCGCACACCTGGAGCTCACCTTGCACATGTATCACACACCTGGAGCACACCTTGCACGCCTGTCACACACCTGGAGCACACCTTGCATGCCTGTCACACACCTGGCGCACACCGCACACACCTGGCACACACCTTGCACATGTATCACACACCTGGCACACACCGAGTGTGTCTGGCACACGCCTGGCACACACCGAGCGCACCTGGCACACACCGGGAGCGCCTGGCACACACCTGGTGCACACCGCGCACACCTGGCACACACCTTGCACATGTATCACACACCTGGCGCACACCTGGCATACACCGCGCACACCACGCACACCTGGCGCACACCTTGCACGCCTGTCACACACCCCGCAGAGGCCTCACCAGTGTCACACACAGCTAGCCCACAGCTGGCACCCTCCAGGGCCCGGCCAAACCCCGCTCCTCCACACGCAGCCGCTGCCCAGGGACCTGCCGAGCCAGCCCCACGCTCTCCCCGGGCGGTGCCCAGGACGCTCCCGCGGCGGGTACCGGGCCGTGTCAGAACCGGGCCGTGCTGCTGCCAGCTGCTCTCGGTGATGAGGAGAGGGTGGTGACCAGGGCAGCCCGGAGCCCACCCTGCACCCACCTCCCCCGAGGCCGAGCCCATTAACCGTATTTAAGGAGGGGTAATTAAGGACAGGGTGATCGAGCAGGTCGAGCCCACCTGCAGCTTGCCCAGCCCTCCCCGTGCCCGTGGCCCACACAGACCCACCGGGCATCACCAGCGGTGTCTGCAGCTGCCCCAGCCCGAGGACGGATGATGGATGGAATCAGGGAGCTCTGCCTCTCCACGCCGCCAAGATGGGAGGGGAATGAAGCTACAACCCAGCAGAAAAAAACCAAAAATAAAACAATGGGAAGAGACATAACCCAGCCTGAAGAGTCCAGCGCAGTTCCTCAGAGCCTGGGTGCGAAGGGCTCTGGGGTCTGGGGCTGTTTGTTCAGAATGTGAGTTTTTTATCCCCTCAGCACCATAAACAGCAGGCAGAGCGCGGCTGCAGGGGCAGGAGACAGTGTCTGTACTGCCCAGGGCAGGGCAGGATGCTGAGGGGCATAGGAGGGTGTGGGGAAGAAGCACAGGCAAGAGGCAGCAAATGTTCTGAAACCACAGACAACATTTTTGAGAAAAGTTAAGCAGTTTATTCAACAGGATGAGTCCACACCCAACCAGTGGCTTCATCTACATGGCATCACCAGCACACACGAGGACCCACTCAGACACTCTAGCTGACGGCATCTCACCATACGTTACAGAGACAACACCAGAGGAAGAGGAGGAGGAGGAGGATGGCCGGTGCAGCGGGCAGCAGCCGGCGGTTTCCCACGGCCTCCTGGCACAACCAACCCGTCCCCACCAGACCCGCAGCCCAGCCACGCAAAGCAAACCAGAGTCGGGACATCTACTGCCGCCCCGCGAGAACCACAACACTGCTAGGTAAATTACACACCTGGGACACAAAAACGACCTACCAGGGACTTCAGCCTAAGGAACAGAGTGCAGTCATGGCCGCCCCGGGTCGCGCTCCGGTGCTGAGGGTCTGTCCAGGGCAGGGTGGGGTGCCACCGCGCTCCCCTCACGGCAGGGCCATGCTGGGATGGGCAGGGCCGCAGTGCCACCGCGCTCCCCTCACGGCAGGGCCGCAGTGCCACCGCGCTCCCCCCACGGCAGGGCCACAGCTGGGATGGGGCAGGGCCACAGTGTCACCGCGCTCCCCTCATGGCAGGGCCATGGCTGGGATGGGCACGGCCGCAGTGCCATCGCGCTCTCCTCAGCCCCATGGCAGGCCACAGCCATGGCTGGGATGGATGGCAGTGCCATAGTGCCACTGCGCTCCCCTCAGCACAATGGCAGGCCATGGCTAGCATAGATAGGGCAGGGCTGTGGTACCACCACATTCCCCTCATGGCAGGGCCACGGCCGGGAGGGGTGGGCTGGACAGGGCAGGGACACAGTGCCACCACACTCCCCTCATGGCTGGGCCATGGCTGGGATGGATGGCAGGGCCACAGTGCCACTGCACTGCCCTCATGGCAAGGCCACGGCCATGGCTGGGAGGGGTGACACAGTGCCACCACGCTCCCCTCACCACCATGGCAGGGCCATGGCCTTGGCTGGGCTGGACGGGGCTGAGCCCAGAGCTGAGCCCAGAGCGACGCTCACCCTGCACAGCAGAGACACAGCTGCCCTGAGCAGCCGCCCTCCGCGGCCCGGGGCACAGCTCACCCAGCCAGGGCACAGCTCACCCAGCCCGGGGCACAGCTCACCCAGCCAGAGCACAGCTCACCCAGCCAGAGCACAGCTCACCCAGCCAGAGCACAGCTCACCCAGCCAGAGCACAGCTCACCCAGCCAGAGCACAGCTCACCCAGCCAGAGCACAGCTCACCCAGCCAGAGCACAGCTCACCCAGCCAGAGCACAGCTCACCCAGCCAGAGCACAGCTCACCCAGCCAGAGCACAGCTCACCCAGCCAGAGCACAGCTCACCCAGCCAGAGCACAGCTCACCCAGCCAGAGCACAGCTCACCCAGCCAGAGCACAGCTCACCCAGCCAGAGCACAGCTCACCCAGCCAGAGCACAGCTCACCCAGCCAGAGCACAGCTCACCCAGCCAGAGCACAGCTCACCCAGCCAGAGCACAGCTCACCCAGCCAGAGCACAGCTCACCCAGCCAGAGCACAGCTCACCCAGCCAGAGCACAGCTCACCCAGCCAGAGCACAGCTCACCCAGCCAGAGCACAGCTCACCCAGCCAGAGCACAGCTCACCCAGCCCGGGCACAGCTCATCCAGGGCACAGCTCACCCGGGGCACAGCTCACCCAGCCCGGGCACAGCGCACCCAGCCCGGGCACAGCTCACCCAGCCATAGCACAGCTCACCCAGCCCGGGCACAGCGCACCCAGCCCGGGCACAGCTCACCCAGCCATAGCACAGCTCACCCAGCCCGGGCACAGCGCACCCAGCCCGGGCACAGCTCACCCAGCCCGGCTCCGGCGGCAGCTCGGCCGTGGGTCGTCACAGTGAAGCTCTGTGAACTCTGAAGCCCACACACAGTCTGTGCCCTCAGGGAGGTACCGAGGATCGGAGTCAGTCACTCACAAACCATGAGCGAGTTCCAGTTATGATGCTCCTACAACGCATGTGGTTCGATTTTGTGCCAAGTTCGCTTACAGAAAAATACATTTCTTCCCTCAAATTTACAGCAGTTAAAACTACACTTGGAATACCATATTACAAAGGGGGAGTTTATTCTCCAACAAAGATTCTTGGTTCCCTTTTCATTAAACAGAAAAATGGAAGGACTTTAAAAGCAATCACCCCCAGCACAACACAACTGCCCAGACGAACCCATGTGTGCACAGCCCCCAGGCCTGAACTCCAACCGTTTGTTTTGGTGCTCAAAAAGGCACTTAAAGATAAGAAAACAATTGTATTAAAAACCCACAACAAAACAAAACAAAGGAAAATGAAAGGCAATAATTTAATAGAAAGACACTAGAATTTGTACCGTATGGTCAAAAGTAAGGGAGGAAATAAAACCCCTAATGAAGATGGGTTTGCTCTCAAGTCATCTCAGAAAGCATACAAAAACCAGAAAACTGGCAAAGTGAATGTTCTCCAGGAACTAAATGGAAACAAAAGTAATAATTACTGGCAATGGATACACAGCACTCGTGCCAAATGGGTCCTTCCCTCCCCAGCACAGGTCCCTGACCAGCCCGGCCCCGCTGAGCACCTGCAGCCGCCGCGCCGGGCCGGGCCGTGCCCGGGGGCTGCGCCACGAAAGGGGGCGATGGAGAAATAAACACCAACGCGAACCAAACGCCAAGGACGTTCACAGACACGCACACACGCCGTCTGCCCTGCCAGCGTGACAGGAGGGACGCGGGCAGAGCTGCTCCCCACGGGCTCTGCGCGGGGTGCCGGCGGCTTCGCTTCCCTTCGGGATTACTATTATTATTACTGGGTTTGTTTTTACATTGAGCTACCTACTAAGTGCAAAGATTTGTTGAGTGGCATTGGCTTTATCTAATTTGAGCCTATTTTTGTACATTTACAGGTTAACAGTTACTTTCGAGCAGTTAAGCAAGTACAGCAATATTTACAGGGCTGGCAGAGCGGGGCGCGAGGGGACACGGGGGCCGGGCACGGGACGGGCGCCAGCCGGTCCCACGGCCTGCGGTGTCAGCTCTGTGCCCGGTGCACAGGGCGCAGCTGTGGAGGTGAGAGGTGGGCTGCAGCTGTGAAGCACAGGTACAGGTGTCAATGTACAGGCAGTCTGGCACGCGTGGGAGCTCCCCACCGAGGAAACACGAGCCACGGCAGGACTGACGGCTTCTGCCACCCTGGGCAGGGCCTCCACTGCTTCCAGAAGTCAGGCTGCTTCTCCTGCAGAGCTGGCGTCCACAGCAGTGCTGGACAGATGAGGAAGATGAAGGGGGGACAAAGCAAAGCCCCAGGCAGGGTAAGTGGCTGCTGGGGGAGTCAGGAGGGCTTGCAGGCATCTTCACCCAGGCACAGAGCAGCGGGATCAGAGATAGCAGGGAGGAAGGATGAATGTTAGGAGACATTAGCACGTGACCATGGGGAAGTGCCAAATCAAACCAGGGGTCATTGCATGGAAATCTGTACAAGGAAAAGCTGCAGGAGAAGCGCGGAGCATCTCAGATTCAGTGCTTACAGAGGAGTCTGGATTATCACACAGGACCATGCAATCCCCAGCCTTCTGCATATTTTTTTCTCTGGGTAAAACAAAATGTAGATTCCTTTTGCATAAACTCAAACTGTTGTATTATATGGTACAGTACAGAAAGTGCAAAGTATCACCCATCAGATCAGCTTTGCATCTGATGCAATCAAACACGGCTCATGCTTCTCATGCAGGACAACCACTCTGACCTGAGACCCCTCCTCGCTGCTCAGGCCTGACTCTCAAGAGACCATTGGGCTGGGTTTTGATTTAAAAAAAAAAAAAAAAAAAAAAAGGAAAAAGCACGTGGGAAAAGGGAGATGAAGAATCTCCAAACTCTGTAAGTTACTCCATGCTTTACCACAGGTTTGGTCACTAGTCCTTGCTCACTCTGAGAACTTGCAGAGAAGCAGCGTTCCAGTCCCAGTGCAGCGTCCTTCTGCACGAGGGTGATGGCACACACCTCACTCTGTCCCACTCATGACACTCACTTCACTCCATTCCCATCCATGGCACACACCTCGGTTTGTCCCTGCTGCCAGGGCATCACAGGCACATGAAGACATCTCAGGATTCAGGATTGGAAAGACTCCTGCTGGCCAGTCACACATGGTCATGTATGGATTTCCAGCTCTTCTCCACAGCCCAGCAGTGAACAGACCCCACTGTATTTCCCATCCCTTTTTTTTTTCAATGCCAAGAGGTACAGAAAATAAATTCCAGGATGGCCTTGTATTGCTTGACGCACAGCTGCTGCAGCGTGGGCTTCCAGGTGCACACAGACAGCCTTGGAAACCCAGACCAACCCACTGTCTCAAGAGAGGACATTTCAGAGCCAGTTTCTGAGGTAAATCTACTGTTTTAAAAAGTCACTGAATTCTGTACACTTTGTTTTTAATATATACTTCTACACTGAGCGTGCTCTCCAGTGCCAACACGTAGACCTGCCGTCTCCTCCTGCTGTAGGACTGCAAGCTCGGGAAGTGTTTCTGCATGGATGGGGTGCGTGCACACCTATGTGCATACACACACATGTATGTACAGGCCCCACGCGTGTTTCCTTCCACAGAGGCTCCCCGGGCAGGGCTCTGCCCCCCTGCCCACCCAGCGAGGCTCCGCCGCGCCCGCCCCGCTCCCGGCGTCCGGCTGCCGCAGTCCCCGCGCCCCAGCCTACATGGTGCCCGATTTATCTGCCGAGCTGCTGGGGAACAGCTTCTCGGTGGGGGTGACGGCGGGGCTGCCCACCCCCGAGCTGCTGCTGCTGCTGGAGCGGTGCTGCACCACGGGCCGCACCGGCCGCATGGGCGGCGGCCGCAGCTGCGCCCCGGCCAGCCGGGCCGACAGCGCCGGCTTGAAGGTGGTCATCATCTCGGCGGTGGAGCTGCTGCTGCGCCGCATGGCCGCCTCGGGGTCCCGGATCAGGATGGTGTGCAGGGGGCTGGCCGGCTCCGAGTTGGCGGCGCCCGGCGGGGGGTTCTTCATGGGCTCCAGCGTGTCCAGGACCACGTCGGGCGCCTGCTTGGCCGTGTTCTGCCTCTCCAGCTCCCGCAGCTCGTTCAGCGCCGTGCTCATGGTCTTCTCGATGTCCTGCGAACGCCAAAGCAACGTCAGCTGTGCCACAGCACCACCCGCTCTCCTGCGCTCCGCCCCGCCACCCTGGCAGGCGTGTCTGCAGAGGGGGTCTCTGATCTAAGAGCTCCCAGGGAAAACGGGAGCTCTGGGAGAAGGTGTGACGTCCAAACCGGCCGCACAAAGGTGCCCTGCGCTCCCCAAGTCAGCAGGAGCTTGGGCACCGGCTCCAAAGGGCGTGAATCCTGAGCCAGGAGTGATGGGTGAACAGCAGCCTGCCCACCCAGCTCCCCCACAGCACTGAGGCTGGCTTCCCTGCAGCCTCCGTTGGATGTATGGGGCCTCTGCTGCCCCACGCCCACAGGACAACGGCACGTGGCAGGGACAGACACAGGGACGTTTATGGAGCGAGCGGCACAACAGCAGCTCGCCATGGATATACGAGAGGCAGCAACAAGGCCTGAGGCAGCCAAGGAGACACTGGCTTCAGCCCCTCTCTGCCCACCCACCTCCAGGCTCCACAGTCCGTCTACAGGGACCCCCCAGAAAGTGAACCCAGTTCAACCAGAAGTGCCCATACACAGGGAACTAGATACTGCCTATGGCTGCAGTGCTGGGGTCTCCTGTACAAATGGAGAGACCCTCGTTTGCCTTTGCTTAAATCCACCTTAACTTAATTAAGGCCTCTAACTCAGCAAGACCATTGGAGAAGCAATTTAAGGCACCAGAGTCAATTGTTTGAAAAGTCACTCTAGTTAATGCTGTCCTGGTGCAGACAAGTCCTTAATTTTATAACACCTACCAAATGCTCAGTGAGCCCCAGGTAACATTCAAAGGATCAGCTGAAGGGAAATAACTATCAAGTTAGCCCCAATTCATTCTATTAAGTTCCTAAGATGATGAGTGAAAATATTCTCCCCGAGAAGCCTCAGGACTCCCAAGCCCAGCAGCCCCACAAGATTCAAGGTGAAAATTAACATCGTCTGGGTGAGCATCTTTTCCAAGAACAAGCCAAGAGAGCTGGGTGTGACAGCAGCACTGTAAGCGTGTCTGAGGTGAAGGGGCTCCAGGCACTCCCCAGTGAGCTCCCCTGCAGCCGCCTGGTCCCCTCCCAGCCCTCTTACCTCAGCAAGAGCTTCTGCTTCCAGGGATTTCTGATCTCCAAGGCTGCTGTGCCGGGTGGAGCCACAGGTCGACCTCAGAGGGTGGCCGTCAGCCAGGGCCTTCCTGTCTGGGAAATTGATGCTGCCCGCGCTGCCGAACGTCGCCATCCTGCGCTTCTCAGGACTCTCGATCCTGCCCCTGTTGAGGGGGATCTTGTGGGGGCTGCTGGGGCAGGCTGCTGCTCGAGGAGGGGTGTCTATGCCGGGCCCCAGGCCTCGGGGCGGGCTGTGCGTGTCCCCCCCGCTGCGGCGCCGGGGGATGGCTGCACCATCAGACCTCAATCTCACCCTGCAAGGAATCCAGCACGGCACCAGGTCAGCATCTCAGCCCCACCACGGCTGGCCACGTGCTGCAAGGCAGCAGCTCAGCCCTGAGCTCAGCTCAGACCCAATTCGAGCCTTCCAGCTTCAGAAGACTCAGCCAAGAGGGAAGACAAATACTTTAGCCAGTACCAAGAAAGGGACAGCATCAAATCGTAAGAGTAGTTTGGGCTGGAAGGGACCTCAAATGTCATCTTGTTTCAACCCCCTGCCATGGGCAGGGACACCTTCCACTATCCCAGGTTGCTCAGGGCCCCTGTACCCTCCGTGAATGTTAAATTCCCATTAGCAGTGCACACGAAATCCCCTCTAAGCTCGTATTACCCTGCAGTGCTTACCAGAGTTTCCCTGCCAGCCCGCCCTACCCCACACACCGACTGTCCACACCTGTGACAGCGACCGCCACCATGGTGACAGGAATGTGAGTTACCTGCCCATCACTCCCCCAAAGCCATAGTCCATGATGTGATCTGTTGGTGACTGGATGTCGTTCTTGGAGGAGGCTTTATCGTCCAGCAGCGGCCCGCTGCTCGCCTCGCTGTCTGCCTTCTGGCTCAGGCTGTCAGAGAACGCATCGTCCCTAGGAAAGGACACACACACCGGTGACAGGGCTGTGCCCAGGGGAGCCAGGGCCCGGGTGCCACGCCAATCTGAACATCACCACCTCAGCAGCTCCACACTTGGCTAACAAGGAGCTGCACCAAGGCCACCACTTCACTGGGAGCTTGGAAACAGTGCACATCTGCCTTCCCATCCCCTGTGATGACTCCAGATGCAGTGCTTGTAAGAGAGGCAGCACCTGCAAAGGGCCCACAGGCCAGGTGAGCACTGCACAATCCAAGTCAATGCTCACAGGGACAAGGCCAGTGGTAAACCTGGGTCACACCACGCTGGGGAGGCAATGAGAGATGGGGTCCAGGTACACTGAGGTACAATGTTTAGTACTGGTCTTTATCAGCCCAGATGAGAAACAAATGGAGCCAATGCACAGACAGGGAGAAGTGAACAGGCCCAGATTTCCCACCAAAGTCATTAAACAAACTGAAAAACTGGCTGATTATTTTAGGTGACTGACTTGGACCTTGGCAAGTACATGATTTTAACAACCCTCACTTTACTCACATGTCTTGCACCACGATGTACTGGTGGGGAATGAGCCCGTCCACCCCGTTGTGTCTCCCTTCCCACCAGTCTTCCGACGCCCGATGGTACAGCAGCAGTGAGGCCCCTTTCTTAAAGGAGAGCTCCCGTGGAGATCGCCCAATGTAGTCAAACTTGGCTATGGCTTCAATCTGCTCCACCTCTGCACAGGAGAGAGGCACAGCGAGGGCAGCTCAGCTCAGCCCTGCACGGGAGGCTGAAGCCCAGAGAGCCCCTCAGCAGAGCAGCAGTGCTGCTGCCGCCCAGCGCCCCCAGAGCAGCTCACACTGAGCACCAGCCTTCTTGTTTTCAGACTGACCAATTCTTATTGTTCTTCCAGGCTTTCTGGGACCTCTCTCAGACTCACGAACTACCGACAATTACAAACAGCTACAAAGCAGATGGGGAGCAGCAGGAATCTCCCTCTGTGCATATGGCACCCTCACCAACATCCCCATTTTCCGCCTTTGGTTACAGAAAGCCATTATCCTCCAGCCTGAGATTTTTGTCAAGCCATGTCAGATGCTGTGATCAAACACCACTTACCTTCTCCTCCCTTCCTTATCCTGGAGACAGTTTGGCCTGAATTATTGATGAGCGACTAATGTCCCTTTGGGGATTCCCACAGAAATAATGATACCACTCCAGCCAGGCAGCTGCTCTGCACCCCACCATCTGCAGCACTCTGCCTCACTGTTTCCCCACCTTTCCTAATGTGAGCTCTACCAAACACCCATGACAAACTGGGAGCTCAGGACCTGAAATACAGGAGGGCTGAGGTAGAACTTCACTTTGGAAGGTCATGAGCACACCAGGGTCCTCTAAGCCTCTGGCCAAGTGTGTCACAGCAGGAGCTGCTGGGGCACCCAACAGTACTGAGGAGCCTGTGAAAGAGCCTGGCTCGTATGCAGATCTGTTTCCAGCTGGGGAACATCGAATCCTAAGAAACCATTGCAACAACTGCAAAGCAGCAGTGTCTCTCTCCTCATTAACCAGAGCAACCCACACTGTGCATTGCTTGGGTGGCAGAACTGCTGCCACTCCCCAGCCACCCCTGGAGCATTAGCATGCCTTCATTAACTGAGACAGTGGACCATTTCAGTCCCCACCTGGAGACTGGCAGACAGAAAATGACAGAGCAAAACAGGGCAAGCCTCCCCAGCTCCTCCAGAACTGCCTCATTCTCATTAAACACGGAAATTTGCTCTGCCCCATTCCTGATGGTAGGCTCAGCAGCCACCAGTGTGTGACCCGGCACTCTGCTCAGGAACCAAACCCACGTGGAGGAGGGGACACCAAAGGAGGACACAGAGGATGCTGCATCAGACCCTTGCCCCATTCCAGCCCCCCCTGACAGGCCAGACCACTTCAGCAGATTCATCTTCCCCACCTTAAGCAACCCCCACATGAGGGCAGAGCATCTGGGAACACCACAGGAGGATCAACAGAGTGTTCTGGAGGAGACAGAGCCAGGAGGGCTCCCACAGCCCTGACACAACGCTGGGCTACCAGCAGGGAGTGTATGCAGGGCAAGGGGGAGAGGGAATATGTAAATCCACAAAATACAGCTGCTCATCTGCTCTTCACTTGGCACCGCAGTTAATCACTCGGAAACCCCAATCGGAGCCATTAACGTGGCCACCCAAGTGTGAAATTGGCTGCACAGCAGCTCCCTTGCCTCCCTTTGCCAGGCTGGCCGGCTCCTGCCTGGAGCTGAGAGCAGGCCTGGAGCTGCCCAGCCCTGCATGCCCTTCCCTGTGCCTGGAGCCACCTGGCCTTGTGTGCCCTTCCCTGTGCCTGGAGCCACCTGGCCCGCCATGCCCTTCCCTGTGCCCTTCCCTGTGCCATTCCTCCTCCTGCGGCCCGTTCATCAGGTGAGCCCTCCCTCCTCCCCACAGGGCAGATGTGTTCTGCTGAGGCAGGACAGAGCCAGGGCAGCAGCAGTGTCGGAAGCAGAAGGTGCTCAGCTCCCCAGGGCCCTTCCAGCGCAGCAAGCCCTGCCACGGTTCCCCACCCACGGCAGTGGCAGCGGCGTTTCCCAAACGCGCTCGCGGCTGGTGCGGCTGGCACACGGGGAGCACAGCGCTGCCAGGCTGCAGCCCAGCCCTGCCAGCAGCCAGCTCCTGCAGCTTGCTGTGCTGTACAACCCGCAGTGCTTGCTGCCGTCCTGCAGCACAGCTCTGCTGGCACGGCCAGCCCCTGCTCGGTCCTGCTCACCCTCGTCACTGGTGTGCGGCTCTGTCCCGTTGTCGTGGTCCACCTCGTCGATGGTGCCCGGCTCGCTGTGCGGGCTGTCACTGCAGAGGAACACACCAGGCTGTCACACAGCAAATGACACCGTTCCCAACGCACTCAGCACACCTAATGCTGCCCAGGGAGGTGGTGGAGTGCCCATCTCTGAGGTGTACAACAACAACTGGATGTGTCTAGGCGACAAGGTGGTGTTTGGCCAAAGGTTGGACTCAGTCTTGGAGGTCTTTGCCAACCTAACTAATTCTGTGATTTGTGATTCTCTGATTTCAAATCACAGCAGATCCCTGAACTTGCTGAGAACAGCAGACACTCACACCACGATCGCCAGGCCCAGAATGTCACGTTCTGTTGGCTCTTGTGTCTACTAAGTTTGGCTAAAACTAACACAAAGTGTCACCAAGTTAAATGTCCCATTCCCTAATTCACAGTGAGCTTCACCTTTAGCTGCTCTGCTGCACCAGGAAGAATGGTGACAAGTGACTAGTGTAAGGCATGGCGAGGTCTCAGAAATGTATGAAACTTGTAGAAAATCACTTCAAGTATGTTATTGATCCCGGTTTGTTAAACCCAGACCTAAATGTTGGGTTAGAATTCCAGCAACAAAAGGAACTGGAAGGTTTGGGTTAACCTTGGGCCAAGGGATTTAATCCAACCAGCAAATTATAATGGTACTATGGGTCTTTACTCAAAATTTCCAGCCTAGGAGAAACTGGATAGAATTTACCTAAAATTCTGTATTGCTGAACATGCTTCTGTGGATGTGCAGCTCAAAAAAAAATCTTCAGTATTAGTATTTGCCCTGGAAAAAAGTTTCTTCTGATGTTTTTTACTGAGATTTAAAATATTGAGTCAGCACAAGGAAATGAAATACCTGGTGAAACTGCCTGTTTTGACTAGTAAGACTAAATTAAATGGTTCAGTGTGCAAGAGCCTCCTGGCCTGCTGAAGGTGTTTGTAGCCAGGAACCCTGCAGAGAGCTCACCAGTACTCCTCCCCTCCGGTCATGCACTTCTCGTAGACAGGCCCCTCCAGCTCTCGGTGGCTGGGGAAGATGCCCTCGTGGTGGATGATGATGGTTTTGATGACCTCATTGACATGGGCCTGGCAGGACACCGGATCCTGCCCGTCAGGAATGTGCATCAGCGTGGGCCCGAAGCAGATGGCCAGGTTGTAGGGATCCATCATGTTCTCATCGCTGTACTGTGACAAGCTGCAAGCACACAGGGAGGAGCTGCCGTGCCGTGGTCCTGCTCTGGGAATCCTCCCGGCAGAGCCCACCGCCCTGGCACCGAGCTGTGCCCTCCTGGCACACGGGCACGGCCAGCAGCGCCGGGAGGGAGCCACGCACAGCTCCCCATGGCAACAGCACAAGGGACTCGAGCCCCAAAGACAGGGGAGCCCTGGCAGAAGGGACAGCAAGGAGGAACTTGGTGAAGCAGGAAAAGACTCACTGGTTAAGGAATGCAAAGAGGTATCTCATGACCACGATGACAGCCCGAGGCAGAGTGACAATGATCTGCTGGATCTGGTGCACTCTCTCTGCAGGGTTCTCAATTTCTGGAACGCATGGATAGAAAGCACATCTTTAAAAACCTTTTCAGGACCAGACAGCTCAGCACCAGAGGGACTTGCTCCAGATCTAGTGGCCCAGTAAGTGAGGAAAACAAAAGCCTGTCTCCAGAGGTCATCCTTAGTCTGGTACTAAGGTGCAGGAAGAGAATGGAGGACACTGCTCCCCCAGCAGGGAATTCGTATGTTCAGATGCAGTATGAACAGCAAATAAAGACATTTCCGTAGGTTTATTTTTAAAATAAATGTTTATGCATTATTCATTTCATTCCTCAACAACTCCTCTGTTCCTCAAAAGCTTGAGTCAATGTGGCACTGAAAACAGAGCACTGCTTGATTTTCTAGGGCAGATTTTTAAATGAGGTTTTTATTCAGGTTACCCTTCTGGGTCACGCATTGGATCCTTCTGAGCCCTTCTGCTCCTGTCTCCTACTGCTCCAAATAGGAATTAGAAACTCCCAGGAAACAGGTTAGCTGGACCTGTGCTGAGTCAGTGCTTTCAGACCACTGCTCTCCACTGCACGGGGGTGCAGAGCCCGGAGCTGCCACCAGACACCTGCACCCTCCCAGGGGAAGGGGCTGACTCAGGGCTGTCCTGCCCTAAGCTATCCCTGTGTTCTCTAGAGTTAATCCTGTGGCTGCTTTTCACAGGAAGCAGAGGACAAGCACCAGAGCTTTTTTGGATCACACAGAAGTGCTTGTTCTGGCTCAAACTATGCCATTTGCTAGCCACAATAAAGTTCACTGACAGCACGTCAGTGGCAGCTAGGCTGCCATTTAATCTAAATTCTGAGCAAAATCTGGCCTCAATACCAAGATGGAAAGCTTTGTAGTATTTCACACGGGGAACTTTTCCATTTGATTAATCCCATTTCTGCCTGCTGGATTCTCTACTTCTTCAGTTTGGTTTTACAAAAGAGAGTATTTCTTTTGAAAAACCCAACTAAATATGAACTGGATACAACCCTATGACAACAGATATCTGTTCTGACACCCAGAGGAACAAATTCTCAAAACACTTGCCTTTCTCCCAGTGCAAAATATTTCAGCTGGGCATATGGAATTAAGAGGATACCAATCACCACTGCAGACACAAGGACAGCCCCATGTGGACTCTGGAAAGTGCCTTTGGACCTGTCTATTGCCCTTGTGCCTTTGAGGAGCTTCCACATAAACTCCTAGCCCTCCAAGAGCAAAAGGAAATGTTCTTCACCTTGCTTAGGCTGGGACACCAAGTGTGCAACCTGTGTTTATGTGTGTTTGTGTGGCACAGACAGCTGCACTTCAGGTCAGACTTTTAACAGGAACAAGGCACTTGAATTTATTTAAAATCTATCCTTAATCAAAAGGTTGCAAGAGCAGCAGAAAGATAAAGATGAGGAAAAGAAAGATTCTTGTTAAAATTGTAAAAAGAAAGAGACAGAATAAGAGAATAACACCCAGAAAATTAGCAGATGATGTTTGCAAAAAAATTCCCAAAAGCTTAATAAATTGTGAAAATTTGCATTAATCAGGGATGGTGTCAAACACAAGCCTATCTGCAAGCACACAGGCAGCCACATCACCAGGCACATTCTGGCACCAGAGGGGAGCCATGCCCTTCTCCCAGGCTGTGCCCTCAGGCTTCCAGCTCTGCAGCCCCTGTGGAGGGCAGCCAGAGAATGCACAAGCCAAACTGCAAACCCCTGTCCAGGGCATGAGCAGAACCACCTTCCTTTGTCTGTCTCACATGTGTGCTGTGCTGCTTTACACATCAAAACTGAATAGCAACGATGTCCTAAAGGTACTACATAAAACAACTGTTCTTGAGAAATCAGAAGGCATCCCTGTGCCCTGGCACGAGCCCATCCCTGTGCCAGTGCCCTCCAGGTACCACCTGTCTCCCTCAGCACCACTAGACCCCAGCAGTTATGAACATGCATGTTCAGAAGGGGGAAAGCACCACGGGCAGTGAAGCCCAGACAGGGCCTTGAGCAGATGTTCCCCTGTTGGTGCCCCTACAGCTGAGACATGCCAACATCTCCCCTGTAACATAAAATCACCCTGCAGCCAAAATGGGCAGCACTTCCATCACCTCTCAGGCTTCAAGGTCATTGTGCCTCCTTCATTCCCCCCAGAGAAGTAATCTCCCCTCTCCCTCCCACCAGTGCACACTGCTGACATCCTTTCCCAGCAGCTCCCACTGCCCACCTGCCACCCTCCTCGCAGCAGAAAGCCCTGGCTGCACACTCAGCTGCACCTGCCCCCATTTAGTGCTTCTGTCGTCCCACCCAGCTCCCCACAAAGAGCTGTCACATGTACTTACTTATAGTAGATATCAAATCTTGAAACCTTTCCTTAGGAAAGAGGGGGTTTTCCAGTCCTCGGAAATACAGCTTCAAGACTCCAGCCACTGAGTTAATGTCTCGTTCGTTCTGATCATCAGCAAGGGGGTCTTCACCTGCCCACAGAAAGGCTTGATGTCAGCATCACCATCAAGCTGGACTAGCACAAAAGGTTTTCCTCATTTAGTGGAACATCCAAACTTTCCAGGGCTCAGAAACCCTCCTCATGTGCAACGGCAATGCTGATTTTTCCTGAAAACCAGTTTTAGTGGGGGATTTCAAACCTTTCCTGAGAACAAGGATGATATTGGTTGTTTCTCCTTATTGTTTCCAGCTCAGTGCATTCCTTCCATTTACAGCACCAGCCTGGAAAGCTGAGGAGGTCTGCACGACACTGAGTGAGAGGCTGAGAGGGCAGGTTTGGCTGGAGGATACAATCACACCTCTGGAATGGACCCAACAGCTCTGGATAGCTTTGTACTGACTAAAATCTGTGAAAGGCTTTCAGTGCCCCTGAGATTTGGATACTAATTCATCTTAAATTGGATGTGCCAATCCTCCAGCCTTTGACAATCCTAACACTGCCTCATCCATTGGCCCATCCTGCTCCATCCTGATCCTTCCAACGCTGCTCAGGGATTAAGGGTCACCACTTTAGCAGGACTGTCCCTGTCACAGCTCCCCTCCACTCAGGACAGCAGGACTGCTTTCCCTTTCCCACGGCCTGGCATCCTGAGTGTGATTTTCTCAGCAGATTCACTGGCACCTCCACAGCCAGCAGTGGCACCAGGTACAGGGAATGCTGCGCTTCCCTTGGCAAACTGCTGCAGGAAGGATGAACAAGGGTCCCCAGCAAACTCTTTTATGGCTCTTGTGTTTTTAACGACTGTGGAAAAGACCTCTGCACGTACCCCTACCTCTCATACTCCTTCCCTGGGCAACTCTTCACTATGCCAGAGACACAGCACTGGGAAACACAGAAGGGATAAAACTTGCACATGTCTCATAGCACAGAGGGCTTTAACACAGGCTTTACACCCTGGCTAATGCACCCAGCACACACCACCTCCCACAGGGATCCTCCTCAGGCAGGGAGGGCATCCTGCTGTACCTGCACACCCCAGCCACACACCTCTCTCAAACGAGTTCTTGATGTCGTTGACTTCCACCTGGGAGCCAGGGACTCTGAAGATGCCCTGCTGCTGGAGGCCTGCAAGAGAACAATGCTTTAGGAGAGATTTCTGGAACTGTGGGGCAATACCTGCAGGTTAAAACAGCAGAACCCAGGAGCTGATGCAGGCTTGGACCAAGCAGGGCCAGCCTGCTGCACCTCACTTCTGCTCCTATTCTCCAGATCAAGGTGCTGAAAGGGCTCGTGCCCGAGCAAACAACTGAACCTGGACACGTGCTCACTAGTGGCCAGTCAGCCAATGCCATGGCAATTCCAAGCTGAGCCCATGGAGAACAGAGGGCAGGCAGCCCTGGGATCCCTGCTGGCTCCCACTGCTCACTCAGGTCCTTTATCCTTGGCAGGTTCTGGGCCACACGGAGCCAACTTACCATACAGATTGATGTAGCGGATGCAGCTCTCTACAACAAGTGGAATGGCCTGTCCTGAATCCTTCAGGAAAGGAAAGGAGAAGAGAAAAAATTACTGGTTTATTGCTAACAAAGCATGGGAAATGCATAAAGATTGCAAAAACAGAGATTTGAAAATTAATGCTGTGGAGTTTAGTAAGAGGACAGGCAGGAAAGGAGGTGTTACAAACATGGAGCCATCAAAGAGTGCTGAGGATACTGTGTACAGCCAAAAATGCCCAAGAAAGCTATCACTAAGGTGTGTGAAATGCTGCTGCTCCCTGTCTGGCTCAAACAGGAGACTGCCACGAGGGATCACAGCTATTCCACCTCAAAGGTGGAACGCTGAAATAAAAGTTGTGCTATACCTGGCTGATGGAATAAGCTTCCCATAACACAGCTTACAACAATATTTCCCACCAAAGGAAAGAGCCATTGTCAGCAGGTGCTAAAAAACCCAACAAACACCACTGGGTATGGAACCAAGTGTCTGAGTCTGGACCAGTGGTGAATTCTGGCTTCTTTCCAAGCCCCTTGTGGCAGAAGCTCAAGGGGACCGTGGGCCATGTCTGACAGCCCAAGTGGACACATTTCTCTTTGGGATTCTGGTGGTTTTTCCAGCAGAGCACAGTGGCATCTCTGGGCAATTCCCTCTGTCTCACAGATGGGTCTCCAATAAGTACCTGATTCCTCGTTCGTGCATTCCTCCTTCCTCTGAGCACAAAAAAAGCAGCAGAGTGGAAAAAAAGAGAACAGATTAAGCAGGAGCAAGTTCAGTTAGAGGTAAGCATCTCCTTCGGAGGCCATGAATGCTCAAATGCAATGGCAGCTTAGCAAGGGCCAACACAGGCCTTTGGGATGTCCACCCTCCCTCCCAAAGCCCTCGGGCACGCTGCAGCCCAGCCTCAGCGACCTGCAGGGACAGCCTCTCGGATTTCCTCCCTGCCTGAACCTGTAGCCTTCCCAGGAGCCTGAGGACAGGGACAGACCTGGCTTAGGGCACAGACAATGCTCTGAGTGGGGCACTGGGCAGCCGTGGGGGCACTGGTGACATCTGGGCAGCAGCCAATGGCCCAGCTGCCTGTGAGGCTGTACACCCCAAGGGCAGGCAGCTGTCCCCCAAAGGGTCTCTGCTAGCACGGGTCACTCCTGCTCAGATGGATTTCTGGAGCAGGTAATTCCTCCTCCTCAGTGCTGAACCAGCTGGGATTTAATGAGCATTACTTTTTTAAAAACCAGTTTAAGTCAGGAGTAATCACAAATCCTAACGGGATTACAGGCTTTGCCAGCGGGGCCAGTACTCCCCGTGCTGGTGCTGTGTACAGACACTGCCCTCGGGCTTAGGGCTGAGCTTGAGGCAATAAACCCCAGCCAGATGATGCCTATTCGTCACCTAATCCAACAGTTTGTCTCTACAGCTTCCCAAAGTGTTTTCCCTGAAGCTTTCTCCAGAGCAGGATTACAGGACACCACTGTCAGCAGCTGGCAGGGGCTGAGCCAGCTGGGCTGGCTGTTACTGATGTATTTGTGTGTGTGCCCTCCAACATGGACACCCCCACAACAGGATTTCTACCCCAGGCTGACAGTCCTTGAAAGTGGGAAACACTTTCTGGGATCATTTTATCTTCCTTCTCAGCCACAAGGATGGATGACCATCAAAAATAGGAAGGGTGGTGTGTCTGTTTGAGAGCCAGGCTGAGCTTGTGTGATCTTTCTTCCCAGGATGGGTAGAAGCAGCAGGACAATGAGGACACTCAGCCAGGACTGCCTCACAGTGCACATGGCCACCAGCCATGGGTGGGGTCTGGAGCACACAGCTGATGGGACAGGAACACCAGGAATGCACGAGGGGAGCTATGGAGAGAAATCATCACCGAGGCAAAGCCATGCTGGCCACGCCAGCTGGGTGCAGATGGGCCAGAGGGACCCCCTGAGGATGGCAAGCAGCCAGGACAGGAAAGCCACCATTCCATTCCCAGCGTTCACAGACACTCCTACTGCAAGCCAGCAAGTACCTTAATGAATGTTTCCATATTGCCGTTAAAGAGTTTATGATTATAGACTGAGAGAGGCCTAGGTCTCCTCATTTTCTGTGGCTTAGGGGGAAGACATGGGGGCCTGGGAGAAAATGGAACAAAATAAATCAACAAAACACCAACATAAATGCAAAGGCAGGGTGAGATCCCACAGGTTATAACTGAGAATAAGAAATCAAACAGAAAAGTCCCTCTGTGAGGACTCGTGTAGCTCCACACACCCTGCAGCCACTGACACTGGCTGTCCCACACAGACACCACTCCAGCAGGAAACCAGCAGCACTGGTGGCCAGCTGGATCTAACACTGCCTCCCACCACCGCCAGCTCAGCACTCCCTCAACATGAAGAGGCACCAAGAGCAGCTGAGGAGATGTATTTAAAATAAACCACAGCTACCCCCAAAAACACTGGGGTATTCCTGTTTGCTCCTAAGCAGATTTCACTCTGCTCACAGAAAGAGGCCAGAATGTGGACAGTGGGAGCACCTCCACTGTGCTAACCTCTGTTTGGAACCCCAGGGATGGGGACCACCCTCCCACTGCTAGTGACCAAGAAGGCAGGGAAGCCTGTGACAGGTTTCAGTGCAGTACTGAGGACAATGGAGTGCCACTTGCATTAATGCTATTCCCACCCCAGTTCCTCTGGATAATGAAGGACATTCAGTGTCTAGATCTAGAAAAAGGAGAAAAACACCACAAAATCCAAAACAGATTTCTGTCCTGCCCTCTGGCCCAGGCTGTTCTGATGTCTACAGGGGAGAGAACACAACTGCAAACACACACAAAACTGGGTGCTGGGAGCCTTCATGCAGGAGATCTCATGGAACAGACATGGACACTTTACACAGAGCAAAAGGGGACAGCAGGGGTCTGCTGGTTCCTTAATCAGATGCCTCTAATTAAGCAACTTGACTGTACAACACTGCTACAGCTTCCAGGCACTCCTCTGAGGGGTAACTGAGGAGCAGAGGTGCTGCTGCCCGCTGGGACAGCCCTGCCCCACGCACTGCAGGGACTGTGCCTGCAGCCCCAGGCAGGGCCCTGCACTCACAGCCGGGGCCCCAGGGCCATTTCAGCTCCTCAGAGTGCCACACTGCACTCTGCTCTCTGAAGGTCCCTCTCTGTCCTGACAGCACCCCGGTGCCCCGCTGGGTGCCCGGCCCTGGCGCCACTCGGGCTGGCGCTGGCAGCACAAGGAGCCTCCTTCCTGCCTGGCACGGCAGCCAGGCTGCACCATCTGCTCCACCACTCCTAACAGGGAACGGAGCTTTTGTGGCTGGTATTATAAATTTTATTAAACACAAACAAGGTTGGAACAAGCTGACACACAGAGAGGCCGTGCATGTTCTAGGGAGCTGTTTGGAGGCCTTGCTGGCCTGTGTCTGACTGTCAACACCAGCACACTCCTGGCAAGCCACCGGAGCTCTGCAGAGATGCTTCATGGACTGGACACGGATCAAAGCCTCCCCTCTGTCTCATCTGCCCAGCCCTATCTCCTGCAGCAGAGGGATGAAGTCTGTGATACAGGCATGCTCTGCACTCATAGATAAAGTAGCCAGAGCTGGGAGAGGATTTCAGGGACGTATTAAAGTCCTCAAAGGAAGAGGGATGGCAGGGAGCGAGTGGACACCTTTGTGTCAGCCTGTCTGAACACAACCCCACCTCAGCTACACTCCAGGGCATTGCACTGTGCTGACAAAGCACATCCAGGCACAGCAGAGCCAGCCAGCCAGAAACCACACTGCAGCAGAACCAAGGGCTGCTTGCCATCCCCCTGACCCCAGCACTCCAGGCCATGCAGCTGGGAAGCAGGATGTGGGGCACAGGGACTGCCAGCCTGCCAGCACGGGGGGCTGGGGTGGGTAACTGAACCCCACCAAGCTGCACCAGTAGCAAAGCAAGCCCCCCTTCCCACAGCCCCTCCTGCCAGTGCCAGCCCTCCCCAGGAGCAATAAGGGGAAGCAAGTGCTCACCTGGTTGTTCCGCACTCAGCTCTTTCACCTGCAAGAAACACAAGTTCCCATCATCCCTCCACATCAGCCACCAGCAAAGGACTGCCGAGCACAGCTGCACAGGAGCTCACACCCTCACTGCTGGCTCCTACACCCCAAGGAATGGCTTCCAGCAGAGAGAAGCTGCATTTGGGGAGGAGAGATGCCCACCTGGTGCCCCCACCATTAAAAGACAGATTAGAAATCTGGAGGGAGAAGAGCGAGAGGAAGGAAAGAGGCAGAGGGTGGGAGTGAATGGCAATCTCTGCTGCTGGAGAAGTAACTCAGCACTTCAGCACACAGTTTCAGATTCAAAGAGATTTCTCTATGTGCACTCCCAAAGAAAAGTGGGAGGAGTAATCCAAGGAAATCATGGTTTTGTGTGTCACTGGTTAGGCTGAGCAGCAGCAGCCAGGCACAAAACCCTCAGTCACTCAGGAGAGCACACACAGGGGAGGCTGGCAGATGACACATGGTTTAAACCCTCTCAGGGGATGGGAGGATCCTCCCTGGACCTGACCCCAACTCACCTTCTCCTAGAGTTTGCTTCAGCAGGTCGTGTTTAGCCTGGAGCTTCGTGATGAGGTTACTGCCATTCAGATACTCCTTAAATTTCTGGAATTAAAGAACAAACGGGTGGGTTAAGCACCACAGCCCCTAATGGAGCTCGCTGCTGCCCGGGGCTCAGGAGCTGCAGGCTGCGCCAGCTGCGCCGCAGGGCTCAGCAGGGTCTGATCACTTCTCCCTGCTCCAGCCACTGCCCTGATGGTCTTATTAGCCTGGTCTCCTTGGAGCTGCCCCTCCTGCCTAGGAATGCAGGGAGGCACAAAGAGTTCAAAGCTGGCTTTCTTTTGTCAGGCTTCTGGGAACGGCCTAGGAAATCAAAGCAGCTTTCCCTGCACTGCCAAGGCTTCGCCTCTGTGCAAACCAACAATGCCAAGCGAGAACTCCCAGTGCCTGAGCCCTCGCAGGCAGGGACTGCCAGGTGCCCCACGCAGCTGGTGACACTGTGCAGAACAACTGCCATCCCCCAGTGAGGCTGTCGGACACCAGAACACTCTGAGCAAGGCATTACACAGGTAAGAGGACAGAGGGAGACAAGAGATGGAAAATGGAAGACGGACAATGGGAAAGATAAAATCTCTGCAAAAACCATTAAAGTAATCTCAAGCACAATTCCAAATGGAAATGCAATTTCCCCTCTATTTACAATAATATTACTAAGAGAAAACAGAAGCTCTGAGCCTCTCCTACTCCACTCAGTAAGTTTTGAATCTCATGTGGCTGAGTTGTTCCTTCAAAGAAAAAAACAAGGCAGGCACTGGACTGTCAGTCCCTTTGTAGTGCCCTGCCACTGAAATGCATTCCAGACCCCAATCTGACAGAAGACAAGTACTTAAAGAGACTGAATTGGTTCTTGCTCTTCACTAATGAGCACTTAACTGGGCCTCAGCCCTGGCAATTAATGCTTCGTGTCCTGTATGCCTGAGCTGAGACTCACAGTGAAATAGAACATTTCAGTCTCCTGCTGGTTGGCTCTCCTCTTGGCAATGTTGATTTTGCTCATGTAGGTCTCTGATGCAGCTGATTTGACCGACTCAGTGGAACGGCTGTGCTGGAAGGCATCTGAAACATCAAAATCTTCCACTGTCAGCATGTCCTGCAAGGTCTGCATCGTGGCATCCAGCGTTTTCCGTACCTATCAGAAACAGGACAGCGTGGGTTTGAGGCAGACTGGGAAAAGGACACATCTTGAGCCAAAACAACCACTCAACAGGCAGCTCCTGAGCCCTGGGCTAGCACTGGCTGCAGTCTGTGGGCACTTCCAGCTCTGCCACAGGAGGGGCTCCACACCTGAGCACACCAGGAAACCTCCAGTGAAAGAAAGGCCCAGCAGTGCTGCCCACAGACCCCACCTCTTACCTCTTCATTCTCTATCTTGAGGGTGGCCAGCCGAGACTGCAGCTGGTGGTACCGCATCAGCAGCTCGGTCTGCACAGGCTGCTGGGCGCTCACCTGGCACACCTGGGACAGGAGACATTCCACGGTCACACACAGACCAGACGCACATTTCCATACCCACACAGTTCCCTCCAGCCCCCATAAGCTCCTGGCAGCCTCCAGAGAGGTTGTGTTGCCATGTGTCCCATGAGCAGTGCCCTGGACCCAGGCCAGCACCGAGTGTCTCTGCCATCTCCCAATTACAGCAGGTTAATCACAGCTCCCCTGTGCAGATCTGTGGGGCAGAGAGAGCCAAACCACGGGCTCCCTAATTGGGGCAGACATGGAGCAAGAGGCAGCCTGAAAGGAGGAGCCCTAACAAGCCGAGAGTCTCATTAGGAAAGGAAACACGAACAGCAGCGTGTGAAGGCAGCAGCGAGGGGTAAGGAGTCCGGAACAATTTCACAGTGATGGTTTAGAGGAGGCCAGGCCCCTCTGCAGCCCCACAGGTGAGCACGTTACCTCATCCCCCATGTGCGGCTGGAACTCGAACTTGAGCGGCGGGCAGAAGACCTGGTTGCACATGTCCATGACGGTGTGCTTGTCGCTGCGCGCGTCCAGGTTGTCCACGGCGTTCTCGATGACGTCCAGGCCCTCGTGGCGCGACGTCTCCAGGTTGTACTCGGCAGACAGGTATGTCCTGAAGGTGCGAGCAAGGCTGGCGTGGAATCCCAGATCGCAGCACTGAGAAACACGAGGAGGCTCTGGTCACACAAACCCTGCCGAGCCATTTTGCGAGGTTCCCAAACACTGATGGGCGTTGAAGCAAGGTGGACACCGTGCCCTGGGTGTGTGCACATCCTGCTCTGTCCCTGGGCAGCTGCCTGCCTCCCACCACGGAGCAGCTCCTCACGCTGCTGATCACTCTCATGTTTATCTTGGGGGAAATTACAAAACTTGGGTTTAATTGCTGCCAAAATACCGTACTTTAGACAAAAAACCTGGTTTTAAACATTGTCCCCACTATAACTGAATCTGGCATGTCAAGTGTCATACCAGCACAGGGATTTGCAGCCCTGAAAGCTCCACCAGAGCTGAGCAAGTCCATCCTGTGACCAATCCCCACATTGTCACCCAGCCCAGAGCACTGACTGCCATGTCTAGCTACTCCTTGAACACCTCTAGGGATGGAAACTCCACCACTTCCCTGGGCAGCCCATTCAAGTGTCTGACAACCCTTTCCATGAAGAAATACTTCCTGAAATTCATACTGATAAACTTGAAGAGAAACCCTAAAACTCAGCTGGAGCCACAAGCAGCTGTGACCCAAGAAGCCATCTCATGCTTGGTGCCAGCGTGAGGTGACACCGCTCAGCTCAGATCACATCACAGCAGGGCTGTGCTTGCTTCAGCCCCAGCTAAAACCAGCAGCAGCAAAGCTACACTGCACCGATTCCCAGCCCCACTGTCCCTCCTAGCCTTTAAAACCAGCGAAAACCCATGCACAACAATGAGCAGTTTTGTAAAAACTATCAAATTGTCACAGCCCTCCATTTATCCTGCTTCTATTCAGTTTCTAATCACATTAACTGAGAGTATGGGCAGTTATGGGCTGGCACAGACCTGCCTTAAAAAAATCAACAAGCAACACAAAAAAGATAAGGGGAGAATTTCCATTTGCTGCTTGGGGCAATCCTCATTCTGTGCTGCAAGTCTCTCCCATGAGACAGTTTCAGCATGAACACCCATCCGACCACTCAGGCTGTTGGAACCCAGAGCTGGAACAATGCAGCCGAGGGGCTGCCCCACAGACAGGGCAGGGACCAGGGCCAGGACCCCTGTGCCAGCACTGGGGGAGAGCAGCACTCCTGCCCTGACCAGCTGACCACAGCCCCGTGCCCTGGGAACGCTCCCCAGCACCGCCCAGCCCTCAGCCGCGCTCTCCCACCCCTGGAATCACAGCTACTTTGCTACAAAAACAGTACCAGGAGGAAATATCTGCCACTGCTCAAGGGTGGGAATTCCCTAAGCACACAAACCCAGCCACTGCAAGGCAGAGCACTGAATGGCACAGAACCCAAGGAGAGGGGCTCAGGGCACTGCCAGCTGCTTTTAGGACAAAATTCCACATGAAACGTTTCCCCTTTTTTGCTGCTGGACTCGCACTGAAGCCGGTGGTGCCCAGAAGTCAGCTGCTCCTGAAAAGCAGGGCAGGCACCTCCCGCACACACTGCAGCCCTTGAAGTCCCTGGTGATCAGCACCGCGCCGGCTGCTTCACACACGGGTGCCCAGAGAAGAAAAGACGGAGCAGGGATTTCCACGCAATTCCCAGAGGAACACACAACGGGGAGGGGAGAAGAAAAAGGAAGGGAAAAAAAAAAGACTTCAAACCGATGCTCCCAGCCCCAGAACAAATGGCATTTTCTCACCCCTCTCATCCCTTTGATGGCAAATAAATTAGAACCACAAATAATAATCCCGGCCCTTCCGCAGCGCCTTTCATCTGCCAAGCTCAGAGCTCCCCAAGCGTTAATTCATCACGGCTGGCAACACCCTGCAAGGGGTGGAAATATCCCAGGGCTCAGCTTGAGAAACAAACCGGCTCCTGGAGCTCAAGCAAGCACGTTTGGCCAAAGGACTGTGGAAGCAGCCAAATACCTGTGTGCCTCCCACTGCCCAGCCCAGAGCTGCACGGGGGCAGTGCTGGGCTCCAGGAGAAGGAAATGCACAGTGGTCTGGGGCTCCAGCACTTCGAGTCCCTCTGCTAGCTGGGAGGCTGAACCTGCACATGACAGAGCTCAGCCAGGCCCACAACTCGGACCTGAGCAAGTGGAAGCCTGGAGTAACACCTGAGCACCCTGCAAGCCACCTTAATTTCCCAGGCAGAGCAGTAATGCCCCTGCCTCCACAGGACCAGCACTGCCTGCAAACAAAGAGCCCGACTCATTTGCTCTGCTCTGTTCCCTCTTCTCTGCATTTTCTTCCTTATCTGTTTTTAAAAAATATTCTGCATTATTTTTAATTATATGCATAATACATAATAATTATATGCCTATTTAAATTTATTGCCTCTTCTCTCTTGACGTTGCTGCAAAATCCAGAGCTGTACTGTGAGACAAGTAAATCACAGAATCCCAGAACTTGGGAGAAACCTTAAAGATTATCCAATTTCAACTACCCTGCCATGAACAGCGACACCTTCCACGAGCCCAGGTTGCTCCAAGCCCTGTTCAACCGGGCCAGTGAAGCCAACTGAGGATTTTTGGCATAACTATTTCAGCTGCTGTTTCTGCTCCCTAACTTGACTCAGCTGATTTTTCCAGAGACCGAGCAATTCGACAGTCCCATGTAACGTTGAATTTGCTCAGAGTTCCCCTCCTTTCCTGGCTTGTCTCAGATACAACAATCAGTAATCCATAGAGGAGCGAGCTGCTGTTCCAGGACTCGGAGGAGGCTGTACACGTTTCGGCAGATCAGTTTGCATGGACACCAACTGTTCCATTTTCTCTGCTGGATCTAGTGATATCTTTCATGTGACCACTTCAAACTATTTTGCAGCCATTTCTCACAGAACTCCAGAGGGATGGATAAGGAGCTTTATCTCCTCTTCGCATACGTGGCCGAAAAGATTAACTCGGTCACACAGTTAATGACAGAAATGAGACAAACCCAGGCGCTTAAACAGACGCACGTGTCACCCGAGGAGGAGGCCCCGTGGTGCCCTGACAGTCCAAGGCTAATTTGATCTCTCTCTATATTCTTCCCTTCCTTTCCAGGACAAAACAAAGGCCACTGGAGACAGAGGGGCAGACGGCTCTGCGCCCCTTACGGCTCCTCTGACGGGCTTCACAGCTCTCATTAAGCCGCAGCCCTGGAGGCCTCCCTCCCTCCCGGGGCAGCTGGGGCCTGTGCCTCGCCAGAGCAGGAGAGAGGAGACAGCTTTGTCACCAGCCACTGCTCCGCAGGGACGCCCAGGGAGCAAGAGGTGTCAAAGCTGTGCCCGAGATGACACTGAGGGAGCTGGGATTTGGGGGAAACGCTGGTAAATTGGCTCTGCAGTGTCCTGACGGTTCAGATTTGTGTGAAATCAGCAGCTGCACGTGGCAACTTGTGCTGGAGGTGGAGGGTGTGAGAGCCCCGTCACCTCTCCTGTGTCCCAGAGAGCCAGCCCGGTGCATCCCTCACCATTCCGTGGTGGAGCGGGGCAGAGGAGCCGGCAGGAGTCACGGGAGCGTGGCCAGCCCAGCTCAGAGCGTGGCCAGCCCACCGTGGCCAGGAGCCGGGCTCAGGAGTGGCCAGCCGGGATCAGGAGAGTGGCCAGCCGGGCTCAGGAGCGTGGCCAGCAGGGCTCAGGAGAGGGGCCAGCCCGGCTCAGGAGAGGGGCCAGCCGGGCTCAGGAGCGTGGCCAGCAGGGCTCAGGAGAGGGGCCAGCCCGGCTCAGGAGAGGGGCCAGCCGGGCTCAGGAGCGTGGCCAGCAGGGCTCAGGAGAGGGGCCAGCCCGGCTCAGGAGAGGGGCCAGCCGGGCTCAGGAGCGTGGCCAGCAGGGCTCAGGAGAGGGGCCAGCCCGGCTCAGGAGAGGGGCCAGCCGGGCTCAGGAGCGTGGCCAGCAGGGCTCAGGAGAGGGGCCAGCCCGGCTCAGGAGAGGGGCCAGCCGGGCTCAGGAGCGTGGCCAGCAGGGCTCAGGAGAGGGGCCAGCCCGGCTCAGGAGAGGGGCCAGCCGGGCTCAGGAGCGTGGCCAGCAGGGCTCAGGAGAGGGGCCAGCCCGGCTCAGGAGAGGGGCCAGCCGGGCTCAGGAGCGTGGCCAGCAGGGCTCAGGAGAGTGGCCAGCCCGGCTCAGGAGAGTGGCCAGCAGGGCTCAGGAGCGTGGCCAGCCGGGCTCAGAGCGTGGCCAGCCGGGCTCAGAGTGTGGCCAGCCCGGCTCAGGAGCGTGGCCAGCCGGGCTCAGAGCGTGGCCAGCCGGGACCAGGAGCATGGCCGGCCCGGCTCAGCTCACCCACACTCTGCAGAGCTGCTCCCTCCGTGGGCTCAGCTGCCCTGCACAGACCCCTCCAGCACCACTGGGATCCTGTGACTTGGATTCATTTCTTCTGGAGCTGCTGAAGCCCGTCTTGCCTCACCCTTGCAAGATACACTGAACTCATAAAAAGGCCTGCTCAGATAAACTGCTCTCCTCTGAGGATACAGGACACCCATGCTCAGCTCACACATCCAGTATTTTGTTTCTTTGGTGAACAGACTTTATAATTGGGGAAATTTCATTGCTCCATGTTAAAGATGCTTGAGCTAAAGTCCCTGAAGGGATTCCTGGAATGTGGGAGAAATGCCATCTGCTGACTCCAGTGGAAGTGTCAGTGAGGAAATAAAAGTTGGGAAGAATAATATAAACAGACAGAGCTAAAATGGAACTCAGCAAATCTCCAGAAAATCGAAGTTCAAAAAACTCCACAAAACGAAGTCATTCTTGCTTAAAAAATAATTTAAGGAAAGAAAGATAGAATACACACTGCAAAAGCAGAAAGCCTGCAGATAAATCAAGGTGTTCTCACACCCTGCCATTCAAATGTCTCCACTTGCTTTTTAACACATCTTCAATAACAAAGAGAACAAAACATAATGAAGAGTATTTTATGATATATCAAAATCTTGAAGTCATCAGGGGATTTGCATCAGACTTACTTTAATTCTCAGAAGTGTAACTACATGCTAATGGGCTAGGAAAGGAGGTAAACACTCAAGCAGCTTTTTAAATTGTAGGTTTAGGTAATGATGGTAACTCAGTGCTTCAAGCTCAGCTATTTATGCACTCACTGAGGCAACTCCAGCAGGAAGAACTGCACTGTGCAATCTGCACGCTGTGGGATGCCCGATAAAGGAAGAAGCAGAAATCCCTTCTCTGGGTAAATCCCTTCTTTGAATCATCTCAAAGCACTTTGTAGGAGTCACCAGTGTTCAGTTCCTGCCACTGCCATGAAGCTGCCTCCAGCAGTTCCTGCCCTGAGGCTACTCCCTGCAAGGAGCACTGGGACAAAGCTCCCAAGCCTGCCCCAGCCAGGACAGCACTGCCACTTGTGCTGAATCCCCACCAAAGTCACCGAGTAGTAGAGAAAAAAACCCCTCTGGTTCAGCACCAAAACCAAAGCTGTGTCTGACCTTGGGAAGCATTTCTCTGTCTCAAACACAGACTAACCAATGGGCCAAGAAGAAAGCTCAGTCTCACGTGGCTCAGCCCAAGGCAAACCCAACTCACAGGACACGTTCAGCCGCAGTTAGGAATATCCTAAAGCCCCCCCAGACCCCCTTCAGCAGCACAGGGGGGTGCAGTGAGGAGCTCAGCCAGGCAGGCTGGCCAGGGAAGGCACTCACGTCGATGAGGTCGGACACGTCGTGGATGTAGTACTTGCTGACGGCTGCGTTGGTGGCTGCCAGGTTCAGCAGGTAGTCATTCCTGGCTTTTGTACACTTCAGCTTGTTTTCAGAATACTTGGCTTGTCTCTGAAAAAGCAGAATGGAGTGTCAGAGCACAAACAGGATGGTATTGGCAGTTTCTCCTGCCGCAGACCCCCGCAGCACCCTGCAGCATGGGTGTGATGAGGTAAGTACTAAAACTTGGTATCTGGTACAAAAACAGGGACCTTGCCAGGGTGGAGGAGATCCTATCTGAACACCCCTCGCACTGTCAGCCAGCATGATGAGTGCATCCTGCTCAGAGGTACTTGGAGCCCCTGAGCACAGCTGCTGCTGGGGATTTTGGCATCAGTCAAAAACAGAGGGCCAAATTTTCCCCCCAGAAATGCTGACATACGTTTGGACTTGCTCCAGATGTGTGCAGCTGTATCAAAGTGGAATCTGGCCCAGAGGCCCAAGCCACACAATTCAGAACAGGACCCAGAATTCAAAACTGTAGGAGAGCAGATGTGCTCCAGATCTGGGACATCTGCTCAGGCAGATCCCTGCTCTGAAGGCTGAATCAAAAGATTAACCCTTCCAAGAAGTTCACTGTTAGAAATGTCCAAGGGCTGGGTGAGCCAGTGAGCAAATTGCAACCTTGGCTGGGGAAACCATTTCCTTTCCTCCAAAAATAACACAAAAACTTGTGGAGATCCTGAGGTCACGGGGATTTGCTGAGGCCAGAATGGCACGAAGGGTTTTGCCTAGCAAATCTATCTAAACACTGCACTCTCACTCCCAGACAGTCTACAGAGGAAGAACACTGGTATTTTACAGATCCAACTATTTTCTTGCTACCAGGAGTCAGTGCCCGAGCAAACCAAAGGCTGTGTTCATTTTTAAAAGCACATCTTTAAAGAACCCATCACAGACAAGCCCCAGTCTCCCGGAGCAGGGTGCTGTCTGGAGCAGGGTGCATCCCCATGCCCGGTGCACTGCCCTCCTCAGCACAGCCTCTGGGGTCCCAGCTGGCACAGCCAGGCCCAGGGACCCCAGGGACAAGCAGCTCCCACCCCCTCTCCCTGTCTGATCTCCAGGAGCCATCGCCCCCAGGGCCCCTCCAGCTGCAGAGACAGCCTGGAAGGTGGCCCCTGTGCAGCTCCACCACCCCGTCCAAGGCTGCACTGCCTGTCCCTGTCATGCCATCCTGACTCTGAGTCAAGCTGGTCCTGGCCCTTCTCCACAGCCAGGAGCAGGGAAGACACTCATGATGGCTCCTTGGGTCACAGAACATGCACATGAGACACCAGCCTTCCTAACCCCTTCCCAGAGATACAGGAATGGCCTCACAGACCAGGACAAGGCTGAAGCCAACCCCTGCTGCCTGCAGGGAGCCCCAAGCTCAGCCCAGCTCCCTCTTCCTTCCCTCTCACCCACCTTCTCTTTCATCTTCTCGATCTTCTTGACGGAGCTGCGCCGCTGAGGCCGGTCCTCATGTCGCAGCAGGTTGACACTGATGTCCCCTGACTTGTTGAACTGCTTTTCTTCCTGCTTCTCTGCCTCCTTCAGCTTGCTCTCGGCGCTGATGCTCTCTGCATGGTACATGTGGTAGGTCTTCATCACCTGCAGACACAGAGGTCATGAGCCACCTTCCCATGGTCACCCACAGCACCGGAGCAGGACAGGGCAGCAGCCCTGGGCAGGGCAGAGGGGGCCACTGGGGCATTAAGGAACAGAGTGAGGAGGAAAGCTTGAGAGATAATCCCAGCCCTACTTCTAGAGGCTCCAGGCTGGTCTAAGAGCTGTGATGACACTCAGTCCCACTGGGGGGACATGATCCAGCACACACCTGCAGACAAAGAGCACCGAGTGCCTGCCAACAGGGAAATAAGGAATGACCTCAGAGCTCTGCAGTTGGGATAAGGGTCTCCATGACAAGTGACTGTGAGGGAGGCCACAGTCCGAACTCCCTTTTGACCTAACCCCTGTTCCTACACTTGGGCTTGCTAAGCCATCAGCCAGCCCTTTCTCTCACCCAGACTCAGAACCACCCAGAAGTGGAGCAGTTGTAATCCCCAGGCAGAAATGGGGTTTGTCTCCTGTCACCACCTCACCCTCCCCCTGCTGCCACCAGCAGGCACAGGCAGTGCCAGGATAGGTGCAGCAGCACCTTGTCCTTCACATTCCAGATCCAGGAGGGATGACACTGATCTTGGAACACTCTACAGGCAGAACTTCCAGCACAACCTTCCCTTTCAGAAACAAGAGCCCAAAGGGCACAGGGGATCACTTTAACGGAGCTGGCAAGAGGGACACATCTGCTCCTGTCTCTTTATGCCTTTAGTCACACTGTCCCCTTCTATCATCTCCCTTCAGGATGTGGATGGTTTATTTCACATTGCCTTGACACAGCACACAGTGCCCGACTGCTCACTGCAATCAGCCTCAGCAGGGCTGGGCACTGCAGGCTGGGACACACTGGGACATTGGGACAGGCTGGGACACTGGGACAGGCTGGGACACATTGGGACACTGGGACAGGCTGGGACACGCTGGGACAGGCTGCCTGAGGTCCAAGGGTTAAAACAGAGCAGGAACCCCCAAACGCAGAGGATTTTTACACACTGCTTAATGAAGCAAACACAGCTCTCCCCAACTGCAGCTGCCAGCAGGAGCCAGGAGTGTTTGACTTGGAGCAGCTCAGGCTGAGCTGCAGGATCCCTCCTCCTGCCAAGCACAGCCCTCAGCCAAAGGAGGCTCCCAACGCCCGCCGGAGCCACACAGACCTGGCACGGCAGGGACACCCCACTGCAGGGACACCCCACACTGCAGGGACACCCCACACTGCAGGGACACCCCACACTGCAGGGACACCCCCCTGTGCAGGGACACCCCACACTGCAGGGACACCCCACACTGCAGGGACACCCCCCTGTGAAGGGACACCCCCCTGTGAAGGGACACCCCCCTGTGAAGGGACACCCCACACTGCAGGGACAAGCAAGGGGCAGTGAGCAAAGGCTCCTGCTTGGCCCTGAGCTGTTGCATTTCCAAACCTCACAAATTCTTAACACAGAATCCAGCCACATATTTCAAATTGCCTTTTCTGCAGTGAATGTCACAAGACACACATAAACCAGATGATTGCTGGGGAAGACCAGAGGGTTTCACTGAACCCTCCTCATCCTCACCATCTACATCTTTTTGTGAAGCACACAGAGGGAAGTGAAGAAGCGAAGTGCTGCATATCAGGGCTTCAGGCAGTAAGAGGAAAGGTTCTGCAGCACTCAGAGAGGCCCTGACAACATGACAGAGAAGCCCAACAAGTAACAGGGCTCCACATTGCATTTGTGAGGATTTTTGTGAAATCTAAAGGTTATGGGACAGTTACCCAACCCAAGCAGACACCTTTACCAACTCACTGTGCTCCTCACCAGCTGCCCTGCCACACAGCTCACTCTTGGAAATTCAGAGCACATTTCTGTTTATATCTGCCTTAATTTTGGCCGGGGCCAAGCTGCACTGCAGCAGTCAGCCCCTGATCTGCAATTCCCTCGTGCCATCTCGGTGCCTGCAATCACATCACGCTGTCCCTGGCTTGCATGGCTGTGACACAAAGACAAACTGCCACAGCTGCGTCCCGGGGATCTTTCCTGCAAATCAGTTAATTAGCTGCAGCGAAGGAGGAAAAATATGTTCCAATGTTCATTAGTTATTTAACAACACAAGTTGTGCTTTCCATATTAATTATACGTTCTGGATAAAGGCTGTTGCCAAAACACCGGCCATAAATGGCACTGCTGGCAGTCTCCAGCTACAAGGGCTTTGTTCTCCTCAACAGCTCATCCCCAAGGTTGTGACCCAGCACAGGAGCCAGAGCAGAAATGGGGTGACTGTCAGGTACAGGCCCCCTCAGCCTTCTGCCTTTACCAGCTCCAACTGGCACCTCTCTGCTGGAATCCACATGGAGGAACCAGAAGAACGAAGCTGGTTTTAATTCACAGCTGAACTATTTCTGCACAAAACCATTCACAAGCATCTCCACTTCAGAATGAAAGTCACCCACTTCCATGCTGATTAAAATCAGTGTGGCTTTGGTTCTCTCCATACAGACTCCACAGGGTGACTTGCATCGGAACAGCAACAAGGCTGAGTTAAAATCAATGCAGTTGTTTTGGCTTAAGTTTGAGACAACGAATGCCTGAGAAGCCTGTAAAAAATTGTTTCCACCCAGTGCACAGAATTCCCCTCGGAGAGGCTTAAAAAGCAGCCTCTCCAGGGCACAGATGAGCTGTGGGTAAGGCCTGGCCAGACACAAGAAAATCGACTTCCCTGAGCTGACAGCAGACAAGTGACATTTGTGAGGAGGCAGCAGCCCGGGGTCCTGTGAGCCAGGTCCTCACCCTGGGTCTGGCTCTGTCAGCAGCCACAGCCCCCGTGCTGCTCGTGGGCACCCAACGTGCTGCAAAGAACACAGCAGCAGCAGCTCAGTGCCCAGGATGTCCCCAGCCACCCCCAGCACCCGTGAGCCAGGGGGACAGCCGGGCCCATTTCACCGATGGCTCAGGAACAGAGCTCTGAGCAGCAGGAGTGCTGGCACCAAGCAGATGTGAGGTGACCCCGACTGCCCCACAGGCTTTGTCTTCATGCTTTTGAAACACGTCCCTTCCCTGCTCCCTCCTGCCTGGATGACACAATCAGTTTGTTATCTCAGCAGCAAGGCTGAACGCAAACACAGAGCTCCTCCAGCCGTCCCAGTTTCCCACTCAACCCAGTTTGTTTCACCACTCAAGCCCATTCTGCTCAGCACGTGGAGCAAAGCAGTGAATGGGAGAAAGCTCCTGTGAGGACCAGCAGGATCACCCTCTGTGCTCCTCCTTGGCCCCTGCTCGCACTGGGGACCTCAGCACACTGCTGACCCCCGTGAGCCCAGCGTGTCCCTCGGGTTACGGCCCTGTCCCCTGCCTGGGTTCAGAGCATACTTGCCCACAGCTTTGCAGGTCAGCCCAGCCCTTGTTAGTCTTTCCTTGTTTTGCATCTGTCATGCTGCTGCTGTAATTAATCCTAATTAGTCACCACCCCTAACACAGCTTGTGACATTCAGCCATCAACAACGCACTCCCAAATCTCACACAGGCTTTTTAATCTGATCTGCTGTCCACCCACACTGCAGGTCTCACAACAGTCAAATCCTTCAACAGCCAATGCAGGAACAAACCTGTTAAGAGGAGATTTATGGCAGAAATTTCAAATACAATCATTCATGCTCTGTTGTTTAGGACTGTTCTTCAAAAAGATGAAATAGAATGATTGTTTAGGAATAAACCTACTGCAGCATTATTTATGTACCAGTTACAGATACAACCAAACAAAGCAAATATATTATCTCCATTTTCCAACAAAAGACAGACTTTATATGGTTTTGTTGCTCCTAAACCACAAATAAAATAAATTAAAAAAAAAAACCACTTGCTACAGGGCAAGAGGCAGAAGCAACACAAAGACTTTTACTACTCTGTTATGAAAACCTGCTTGAAGAGCTGTGTCCTGACTAACAGCACGTGATCTCACTGGGAGGCACAGACCACTCTGCAGCCAAAGTGCTCCTCGGGCCACAAGACAGAGCTGAGCCCCTGTGAGCCAGAAGTTTTCTGCACTCCCCAGCAGAAGGTGTGTTCAGCCACCCCCTGGCCACGGGCTCACAGGGGCAGGGACGTGTCCAACAGGCCAGCTCAGAGCCTCTGAAATCACCAGGCAGTGTCTGAGCAGGGCCAAAAGGTAACGTGGTGCCCGAGCCCTGGCAGGTGAGAGCGTTACAGACACGGGGACCTGACTGGAGCTCACCCAAAGAGCCCCAGCCAGGCCCAAGGGAAGCAGCTGGGCACTGGGACCCAGCCCTTGGGAAACCCTCCAGCACTGCCACCACCCCAGTGAGGAGAGAGGCTCTCCCAAAGGATGTGAGGGCAAGGAATGGGCCACGCTGCAGGACAGCCAGGGCAGAGCCTCCTCAGATTTGCTCTAACAAGTGCCTGTGCTCCCCAGGCTGTGGCTGGGAACCTGGCACGGGCTCACTGCTCACCGTGTAGAGCTCATTGGTGACCTTCAGGAGCTCCTCGTGCATCTGGAGGCCAATCTCCTTGCTCTGCAAGACAAAAACAAGAAGAGGTGAGGCTGTTATGCTCAAAACATGCCATTTTAAAATGAAAATACATTTCAGAGGAATCATAAACGTGATACACAGCGCAGCAAAGTCTCGTGCAGTTTCAGAGCAGCTCCGTGTTCATTTGAGGCTGACATTTGCCCATGGATCACCCAAACTGGGTTTCAGAGACCATGAGGAGGAATTTCATATAATTTAACCTATTTACCCTGCAAACAGATGAATCTAAAATTACAGGCAATACTGCTTTGCCCTTCCACTGGTAAAATCCATTCCCAGCCCACAGCCAGCTGCATTTGGGTATAACACAACACTGTCCCCCAGTTTGGGGACTGGCAGAGACTCACTGTGGGACTGGCAGGGTGTACACCATGCAACAGCCATTTGTGTTCCCTAGATTGGCAGTCCCCCAGACTGGCATTCTCCAGCCCCACAGCATCACCTGTCAGTCTGTCTTGATCTGAAACACTCTGCTGCTCTGTGATCTGCTGCTGGACCTGCAATTTCCAGCCAACACTGGTATTTCAGAGCAAAGACTACCAGGGTTCCCCAGCACCAGCATCCCAGGTTTACAACTCCCTTGGCCATGACCCACCCCCCCAGCTCCTCCTCAGTAGCTCATTTTCACTATTCTGACCCGAGTGAACCAAAGCACCTCTGAAAAACGACATTACAAAATAGCTACACCACAGTTATATAATGAAGTTTCCAGTTTCACAACAGCAGCGGCCAAAGTTCAGCCAGCTGAGGAGACACTCACTGCCAGTGAGGAACTCCTGGCATCCTCCTGTCTGCTGAAATCCCATTATCAGCCTGTGTTTTTCCTTTCCTTGCCAGGCAGGATGAGGCAGATGCAGTTGCCAGCCTCCTACAGCACGGACACAGCCCTTCATGGAGAGGCCACAGCATGGGGAGCTGCCCAACACTGGAGCTTGGCTGCAGATCAAACCAACTCCTACTGCAACCCAGCAGCTGGAGGTGCTCACACTGCTTTCCTGCCTGCCTGTAATTACACCACAAATCTCTCCGTGGAATCTTCTTGGCTAGGAAATACTTATTATAGCTTGAAGATGTGTTTAAACTAAGTATAGACACCTCCCTCCCCTAAACCAAACTAAAACAAAACTGAGCAGCTTCTCCCAGGTTTCCTCAAATAACTCCAGGAAGTTTTGTGCACGTGGGCAGGGAAAACAACATTCCATCAGGCTGGGTGATGAGAGAAGCCCTCGGCACGGAAAGGTCCTCTAATCCCAGTCAGTGGGACAGCCTACACACTCTGAAAGTTTCATCTAGATTATTAGAAGTTAGACTTAAAGCAAAGCCTGAAGCAAGGAGTCTAAAGGGTGAAAGTCCCTGCAGCAAGCACCATGTGCCTGTGAGCTAGTGTCAGAGCACCTGGGACAGCCCCATCCTCAGAGGCCGGGCTGAGCACGCTGCTCCCACTGCCATGGGTACACCGTGCCAGGATGGTGCCAGGATGGTGCCAGTCACCAGAAGGCTGGACCTCAGCTGAGGCCCCTGACTGCCAAGAACTCATCTGGACTGGAGCCCAGTCCCTGCCCAGCAACACTGATGGTCATCATTGCTCTCAAAAATCTCACTGGGGCTTGCTAATTCACAGCAGAGCCGTGACAGATGCGCATCCCCCCAGACACAGCCCAAAGATGTTTGGTGACCTTCTCACTCTCTACAGCTCCCTGACAGGAGGGTGCAGCCAGGTGGGGGTCAGGGGACAGGGAACAAGGGACAGCACAAGAGAAACAGCCTCAAGTTGTGCCAGGGAGGGTTAGGGAAAAAATTTCTTCTTCATTCCTGGAGGAATTTAAAAGCTGTGTGGATGTGGCACTTGGGCACATGGGTTAGTGGTGGCAGGGCTGGACTCAATGGTCTCAGAGAGCTTTTCCAACCTCAGCCATTCTGTGTTTCTAATATGAGTCAAGGTCTCCAAACAGGGGGCTTGGAGCCCACAGCCTGCAGGAGTCACATGTACCCCTCCAGCCATCCCTGCTGCCATGAACCACAGCCCACTCCCCAAACCAAGGCCTCCCAAAAGCCTGGGGGGAGGACAGGACAGGCTGAGCTGCAGCTCCTGCCTCTGCCCCGGATTTCCTGCACGGTGCAGGGCAAGGCCACAAAGCTACAATTTTCAAACCCAGCTTTAGACTCCAAAACAGAGCAACACAAACTGGCTCAGTTGCTGTTCCGTGAGCTACATCTGCACAGGCAGACACAGTTAAAGAGCCAGTTGCTTACAGACACTACCCCAACACCTGGCCCCTGCTGCAACGGGTCTGCAGCATCGCTGGGAGACTCCCAGCATCCAGGAGGGCAGTGAGGATGAGTGAGGATGCTGGAGCCTCCTTCAAGCACAGGCAAGCAAGCAGCTGAAGGACTTGCCTCTCCTCCAAGCCTGCTGCCTTCCCTTTCTCCAACAAAGAAATTATATTTTTGTACTTACAAGAAAAAACACCAAAACATCATTCCAGTTCCTGGGGCCATCCACAAAACCTGAACTACAGTTTAGCTGCTTTCTTTATGCCTCACACTCCACCTAAAACCCACAGTTTACTCACTGAGACAGCAATGGCTTCAAGATAGCAATTTATTAAAATTCCTGCCATGCTGACAAAGTATGGGGAAGCAGCAGCATGGATGACTGGCAACAGAGAACACTTACTCTAAAGACAAGGACAAGAGCTCTCATCCAGTCCCTGCTTCTTCCTCCAACCTCCATCCAGGACAAAGCAGCACAGGCTGTAATTAAATTCACTGTCACAGCACAGAATTGAATCCCACACTGGGGAATAACCCAGCACCCTTATTTTGGACATAGCAATGCTCTGTCTCAAACATGTCATTTCCTGTATCCCATACCTGGAAGAAGCATCAAACTTCCTTCCTCCTGCACAGCAGAAGGTTAGAGCAGAGCAAACACCTGCCTGGCAATGGGTGCCTCACCCTGGGTTTGCGTGTGCCAGGACACTCTGTGAGGTTTCAGGGTGACAGACTCGCCCTGACAGCAGAGCAGGGACACATCTCAGCATCCCCACTCACTGCTGCCTATGAGCAATGCCAGCACCCTCACCCTGATCCCCTCTCCTGCAGCGGAACGTGACTCACACTGGAAGCTCCAGGGAAATCTGCCCAACTGAGTTTTCTTCTGCTTTCCTCACAGAATGCCAGAATGGTCTGGGTTGGAAGAGCTCCCAGTGGACAGAGGAGGCAAGCTGGAGCTGCTGCTGGGGGAGGACACTTGGGTGGGCAGGGACAAACTGCTGGTTCAGTGCCCATGACCCCACCTGTGCCAGGCTCAGCCAGGGACACCGAGGGAGCACAGCTCAGCACACACATCTTTCCACAGGGAAGCAGCTCAGCACACACATCTTTCCACAGGGAAGCAGCTCAGCACACACATCTTTCCACAGGGAAGCAGCTCAGCACACACATCTTTGCACAGGGAAGCAGCTCAGCACACACATCTTTGCACAGGGAAGCAGCTCAGCACACACATCTTTGCACAGGGAAGCAGCTCAGCACACACATCTTTGCACAGGGAAGCAGCTCAGCACACACATCTTTGCACAGGGAAGCAGCTCAGCACACACATCTTTGCACAGGGAAGCAGCTCAGCACACACATCTTTGCACAGGGAAGCAGCTCAGCACACACATCTTTGCACGGGGAAGCAGCTCAGCACACACATCTTTCCAGGCAGATGACCACTTGCTGAGCAATTGCTCCTTAGCTGTGCTCATCCTGTACCCTGTGAGCCCTCCCCTCCCTTCCCCGGGATTGTTTACATTTACATAATGAATGCAGGAAACAAAACCTCCTGGCTCCTTATGTCCCCACAGCCTGTCACAGGCCATTAATAAACTCTAGATGGGAAGAATTAAAAGTGACATTTCTGGAAAAAAATGTTACTCTAATTTACCATCAAAGAGCAATCTGCAGCACACCCAGCAGCTGAACCATGACTGCTTTAACCCTTCTGCAGCCGGGTTATCTGCCAGCAGCCTCGCACAGCCTGGCCCCCCTGGAGGAGGGCTTGGAGCACTTCACCCACCACATTCCAAGCCAGACTGGACACCACAGCGAAAGATCCCTGCTCTGAGCAGCTTCATATGCTGCAAGGCTGGATCTTCAAAATCCATTTACCAGCATGCTCCTGTTTCCACACAGCTGCCCCAGGTTCCCACTGAGCACTGCTGTGAAGTGGAAGGGCAGCCTCAGATCCCTTCAGACATGGCATGCCATAGGCTGAGAAAAATAAACAACCTGAATATGCTCAAAAGTGGCAGCCTCCCTGTCCACATGAAAGGCAAACGTTGACACAAAGCAAGTCTTTTCCCTGATTTAGCTGAACATTATTTCCAGGGACAGTTAAGTCCAAGAACAAACCCAGTGAAATCACAGGTACCCCCAACAGCAAAGCTTCCTCTGGATGCAAAGCAGTGCTGGCCCTGGCAGGCTGCAGAGGGAGCCACGCCAGCTCTCCTGGCAGCAGATGGAGGAGGGAGAAACAAGGAGCAGCCATTTCTATCCAATTTAAATGTTGAGCCTTAGAAGTTGAAATTTAAGTTCAAAAATGAGGGGAGATGGAAGAACATCAAACACAAAGAAATGATTCTGCTGAATGGATGAAATACCTCACCATCCTGTCCTGGCTGAGGATTGACACACAACAGGAGAACACTCAAAACACTCAATACATGTCCTTGTTTGCAAGCTGGCTGAATTTGTCCTGTATTTCCAAACAAGACACACCATCCACAGACATGGGCAGGGGAAGCAGAAGCATAGTTTAAATATGAATCTCAAAAACTGGTTCAGAGCAAAATGCAAACATTTTGAGGAACATTTTGAGACAACTGGACTAACCAACATACACCAAGTATCTCCATTTCTGGAGGGCAGGAGAACAGGAAAAGGGATGATATCCCATATGAAATCAGCCAACACAAACCTGACCTTGCAGTTTAATTTCTAGGTCAGATCTATAAACTAGAGGAAACTGGCCATAAAAATATCACATGAAATTTATTCTCCAGTCAGGCTGAAATTTCAAGATAAGCCCTGATTATGAGCCTTCTCCTGTTGGAGAGGCAGGTGCCCTGTGGCTCACCCTGCTCCCTCACTACCGTGCCCAGCTGCCCCTGATGAAAACAAGGACACAGAGCCTACCCTCTGCTGGGACTCTTCATGTTCTTACCACACTCCTCACCTTCAATGAACAGTTGTGGTCCACCTGACTGTGTGATTCTCAGAAGTCTCTGATGCTCCTTTTTAATTTGGTTATCATTAATAATTCTGTATCATCATCAGATTTTGTCATCTTACTGTTTCAGGCTTTTTCCAAATAATTTATTAGGAACTGCACTGGAACTCCCCTTTTTTCCTGCCTTTTAACTAATCATTAATCCAGAAAACAGCCCCTCTCTACTCAACAGCTCTTCAAGAATTTCAGCTAAGGCCCTTTTCCAATGAAGGCCCTACAAGCAGCTAATGACATGACCTCTGGCTCCTGGAAATACCTCCACCGAATTTCTGAGGCATGACTCTTCCCCTCAGGAAGCAAGTGACTCCTGTCCTGTACCTGCCATCCTGCCCTTGAGCAAGGCTCCACCCAGCAAGCCTGTTCTGACCTGTTCTCTGAGCCCTCCAAAGAGTCCTGAAAAAAGTCAGCCTGTTTCCACCTCTCACTTCTCTGGCACTGACACTTTGAGCACTAGGTCACACCTCACACTCTAGACTTGACAGGTCTAGATCCCAGTTTCTTTCAAACTCTAGGATAAATACTACCTGGAAAGCCTTTTAGCCATAGTCCCTTGTGAGATTTGCTCTGAAACATCTGTGACAATTCTATTTTAGACTAAAATGCCAGGATGGACGCTGGTGAAGCAAGGCTGCCCAGGTTACCTTTTTGAAGAGCCTGATGACGTCCTCGCTGATCTGTGACAGCCGGACGATGACATTGTTCATGAAGATGTCGTTCAGGGTGGCGTGGTCTCGGCTCTCCCGACGGGTCTGCGTCAGAACCAGGTACCAGCAGTTCACAGGGGACAGGAGGTGCTGATCTTTCCTAGAGAATTGTGGAGAAGAAAAATCAAAAAGGCACACATTTTCAAATGACCTCTGCTGGCACATGGCCTCCCTCCCGTGCACACAGTCACTGGGATTCAGGGTGTGATCTCCTCTTCCAGCTGAACCAGCACTGCCACGCAGGGATGCCCAGTGGCACACGAGCACCTGGCCCCCAGCCAGCCCCTTCCCAAACTGGGTGCTCTGGAAGATGGCACAGGAGAAGAGACATGCCTGGAAAGGGAGAGAGTTTTGCTCATTCTTTCCACTCGCAGTACAATACAGCTGTCACTCTGCTGCAGAAGGGCCAGCCAATACACTGTGCTGGCTTTAGTCCACTCAAAAGTGCTCATGAAAGGGTTCTGCATCCAACCTTACCTCAGAGTGTCTGTGCACAGCATGAACACCCTCAGGTATGCTGGGGGACACCGTGGAGACTGCAGAGCCCTCTGCATGCACACACAGACAGAATGCACACAGACAGCGGGACGAGTCCGTGCCCTGGAGCCACGGCGATGGCCAGAGCCAGGGCTGGGCACAGCCTGCTCACACAGCTACACGGGACAAGGAGCACTGAAGGGACCCTGAATCTTGGCAGTGTCACGGCCTCATCACAATAATGACACACATGAGCAGCTGGGGAAGTGGTGCAGATGAGCCCAGCAAGGGCAGGTACAGAGCAGTCGGGAGGACAAAGGGAGTCTCCGGACATGGAATGGACAGTGAGGACTCAGCAGGAGAGAGCACAGAAATCAAGCTGACCCAATTAACACCACCAACACCAGCACTTGTGCCCAGGTCCTTTGGAGCAGTGAAGAACCACTTGTCACCTGTGGACACTGCACAGCAGCAGCTTCTAGAATTGTGAGCAATGCAAAGTCCTAATACAGCTCTGAGCTAAAGGGTGAGGCCAGATAGCCCCTGAACCTCTGCGGGCTCCACCTCTGAACCAGAGCTCCTTAATGGCCAATTTCTTCAATTCCTTGGTGCACAGTGCAGCACTCAGCACCACACAACCAACACACAACAGCCAGATGCCAAAAGGATAGAGAGGCTCTGAACAGCAACTCATCATCAGCAGAGCTTGGCATAAGACAGCAGTAAAGCCTCACACCAGAGAGACCGAGTAAACAGATTAAATGGGATTTAGTAATATGGAATAAATAGGATTTAGCAACGTAACAGCAAAAATCACTGCTCTTGGAGCTGAAACAGGAAAAAAATCACCAGGGGTTAGAGGAAGAAACAGACTGTGAAGAGCCTGGGGCTGGTGAGGAGAAGGGCAGCAATCAGGCAAAGCCCAGGCTCTCTGTGAAAGGCACTGAACAGCAGCTGCAGTCTTTGGCCACTGAACTGAACGACATGAGTTTCATCTGGAACAAAGGGCACAATTCCAGCTGAGAGACTTTCACAGATACCACTGGCAGAAGAAGAGACAGGGACAATCGCTGTGGACCAGGGAGGCAAAGGTGGAGAGCTTGGGCTCAGGTGCTGCAAGGAGAGCAGCCAGAACCAGCACCTGGCTCCTTGCTGCCAGTGCTGCCACATGGTCCCAGGGCACAGATTGTGCTGGGCACAGCCCCTGCATCCTGCTGGGCACAGGGCACACATCCTGCTAGGCACAGCCCCTGCTGGGCACAGCTCCTGCTGGGCATAGGGCACAGCTCCTGCTGGGCATAGGGCACAGCTCCTGCTGGGCACACATCCTGCCAGGCACAGCTCTTGCTCGTGCTGCCCAGTGAGACCCCGTGCCCCCGACACTGCCAGGAGAGCTGGCTGTGGCAGGGGACACAACCCCAGCAGCTGCCAACCCCCACAGGAGCAGCAAGCGTGGCCCCGCAGAGCCCAGCCAGACACCTCTGGCCTGGCACACCCGGGGAGCAGGGACCAGCCCCCAGCTGCAATGGGCAGTGGCCTCCACAGGGCCTTGAGGTCACCAGCCAGCAGAATGGCACAAGCCAGTATCCTCACCACAGAGCAGTCACCTCCAAAATGAAATTCTGAGTCAATGTTGTTTTTCTATTTTTTCAGATATTTTCTGGTTTAGCCAAGCTCACAAGTGTGGTTAAACTGAAAAGAAGCTGCTTTTGAAAACACATATTTACATATTCATGGATTTCACAATTGCATCACTGGTTTCATTCTCACACAATCCCAGGACTCAGTTCATATTTCCTACTTCAAATCTTTGTTTCACAATATTTCCACTAAGGATCTGCCTCCCTCCAACACCATACGGCTGAGCACAGAAAAAGCACATACTTTATTGCAAATAAAGTGCAGTAAACTCCATTTCCAGACACTGCTTCCAACCCTGAGCCTGCCAGCGAGCCTGCACGAAACACGCAGCACCTGGCCAGCTGATGACTGGGCTACACACAAAAACCAGGGCTACAGACCAGGCCCACCACTATCTGCACAATCAAATCAGTGGCTGAATTCAAGTCCTTTCAAAAAATCGAGGGGTTTGACTCCTTCCTAGCCCCCAGTTCCTATTTTTATTGTATCGCTCAAGAAGTGCTCAATAAGTGTAACTCACGCAGCACAGGTCAGCTATGCTGTGGTGGAAGTCTTGGCAAGACACATGTCCAGTTCCTTCTGTGAGCCCCACAGGGATGAGACAGAGCAGGTCACGGCTGGTGTGACAGCCCTTATCCTGCTCTAGGGCTGCGATGCTCCAGCCCAGCCTCCAGCAGCCTCTGCTCATGGCCAGTCTGCCCAGGAACAGCCACTTACTTGAACTGGTGCTCTCTGGAGCTGCGGATCTTGGAGGAGAAGCGCTCAGCCAGCTTCTCCAGGCTGCGGGAGTACTCCAGCTCGATCTCGGCCTTCCTGCGGAAGAACTCCTGCAGGTCCTGCAGCAGCTGCAGGCGCGACTCCGACTGCTGCTCCAGGCATTTGAACTGCTCCACCAGCTGCGTTCGGATCTCTGCAGGCACACAGGACACGAGAAGGAACAAGACATCAGCTACAGACACTGGCCAGGAAGGCTCTCCTCCCTTGTCCCAGAGCCAACAGCTCTGCTGGAGCTCCCTCCAAGCCCTGGGTGAATTCAGGGCTCAATAAGGCCAAAGGATCTGCTTCCTGAGAGAGCAGAACAGTGCCATCGACCAGCCTCACGTTAAACCTTATTCTTTGCCAAAACAAACGGTCTTGCAACACTGAAACCAGCCTCAGAGCTTTCAATTGCCTTTTGAAACCTGAAAACCATGCTTCTATCTAGCTGGTACTACCTGAAATCACACACTATTCTCATATAAACTAACATTTTATCTTGAAAAATGTCCATGTGAATACCTTCAAGACGGCCAGCACTGACCTTAAGGAAGCTGGCACTGCACCCTTCTCTCACCCCACCCCCCTGCACTGCCGGGTTTAACAACAAATCCAGCCCAGCTTTGGCTCAAAGGCTTAAAAAGTCTTTCACACCCTCCAAATCCCAGCTCAAAACCACCAAAGGTTTCATCTGTTCCATGTTTATTTGCTTTCCCCTGAGGACCTTCAGACACCAGGTCAGACACACTGCAGCCCCCTGCAACCTTTCCTGAAGTGGGCTCAGCAGTGCCTGGAGGTGGGAAGGGATCCTTGGGAACCTGGGTCCCTGCTGTGTCCTGCAGGGAACAGGCGCTGCAGGAACAGCTGGTCTCCAGTGCTGGCCCTGCCCTGGCACTGCCAGAACGCAGCACCTCAGCTGCAGATCCCCCACACAGGGGATTCTGACCCCAGGCAGGCAGCGGGGAAGGAGAGCTGCTCACGGGCACAGCCAGACGCCTTGCCCTGCCTGCAGGAAAAGCAACACAGCACCTGTGGCACAGGATGTGATGGAAATAGACCTCCCCAGCTCTTCCCAACCCCGGGCAGGGTTTCTGCAGCCCTGTGCAGGAGCTGCTCACTCTCCTGGGAGCAGCAGCTGAGCTCTGTCCGGAGGGCGTGTGCAGAACTGAAGGGAGAGGAAAAATGAGACTAGACCATAGGAAAGTCTATTCAAACTGAGAACAATTGGGCTGAGCTGGCTGCGGGGGGCAGCTGCACGGCAGAGGGATCAGAGGAGCTGGAATGGCAGGGGTCGGCTGATGGAACGGGTCCATGTGCTGCCTCCCTGCTCCCAGAGCCCTCGGGGACAGGGCAGAGCAGCCCCCAGATGCCCACCCCACACCCCTGGCAGCAGGCAGGTGGGCACAGCTGAGGTGAGGCAGCTCCTGCATGTGCTTCCCTGAGACCCTTCACTCTCCTCCCCTCACAAGAGTGCCCAGACCAGCCACGGCACTTGCGGCCATTTTAGTCCACCTACAGAAACAGCCTCCTTAATGCTCCTAACAGCTGATAAGCAACCCATAACACACAACATGTCCTTTGCCATTCCCTGAGGTTTGTAAGTAGGTCTGTTTTTCTCCCTTTGCTCACCTGGCACTGGTGAGAAGCCAAGCCCCTGGGAGAGGATGGGTGAGGCAGAGCAGGGATGCTCAGCACAGCTGCTGCCTCTGCCCAGACAGGGGTTTCCCTGGGACTCTGGGCATCTGCTGCACAGACATACAGACATCAGCCCTCACTCACAGCAAGCTGCAGAAACTCCAAAACGAAGGGCAATCCCACTCCACTGAGAATGCTAGAGATACCTTCAAAAGTTAAATTCTCTGCCAGAAGAATGCAGGAAAGGATACTAAATTGCAAACGAGGTCTCACAACAACTGGTATCAGTGCCTCAGCCTTTATACTCTCTGTTCCTAGTTTGCTGGAGCCCAGCTCTCTCTGTCCCTGGCACACTTCAACCTTTGTCAACAGATTTTCTTTGTTTTTCCTGTGCCTGTAATGTGTTGATTTGACACTTCTAAGTTTCCTTGCAGGAGTTCAGCCAGGTCAGTGCCAGCCCAGCACGCAGAGCCAAAGGACAGACTCTGTGGGCACAGGGAGCTGCCAGCTGTGACCCTAAAGCCACCCAGTGACAAGCCATCACACCAACAGTGGAGATGGCACTGACCCCAGGGCTGCTGCTGCATGCTAAATGGGAAGGGCTTGTGTAGAAAACAAAATGCAGAGTTGCTGGCATCATCAATGCAAAGACAGACGTGGCAGCAGAGAGAAGGACATCGCTCAGTGCTCCAAGGGAGTCAGCTCTGGGGCACAGCTCCTGCTCTGCTTGCAGCCATGCTACATCCGTGCTGCCAATTGGGGGGGATCCACAGGCCTGCAATTCCAACCTTCAACCAACTGCCAGTTATGCTTTCCACGGCAGATAATCTCTCTTCAGCACCAGACCCCAAAACTTTACCTTTGGCTCCTCAACTAGCATCAGCCACCACAGAAGCCAACCCCAGCAGAAGGACAGCAGGATACCCTGCAGAGTTCATGGACAGGCAACACACGGGAAGTTAGGATGGGATATTAAATAAACCCAATTCTCCACAGGCAAACACTGAAAAGCAGGCAGTGGAAAACCCTTGTCAGCTAAGACTTGCAAAGCCCAAACTGAGACAGGAGAGGCCGCGGGAGCCAGGAGCACGGGGAGCCTGCAGCGTGGCCTTGGTGCTGCTCCAGCCAGCACAGCCTGCCCCAGCAGCTGCGGACCGGAGCTCCCTCCTCCTCCTCCTCCTCCTCCTGCTGGAGATGCGGGTTTGGCACAACACCCCCTCCCCAGCCCCGCCGGGCCAGAGCCACGCTCCGGCTGCTCAGACAGGGACAGACAAAGGCAGAGGTTTCTCTAGCAACGGGCCTGCCCGAGCTCCGCTGCTGCCGTGCCGGGGAGAGCAGGACAAAGCCCCTGCCCAGCCCCTGCAGAGCCCGGGGGCAGCCCACCCAGCCCCGGCTGCTCCGCGGTGCTGAATGATCTGAATTGCCCATCCAGGAGAACGGTGCTGCCACGGATCCTCCCGCCGGGCAGCCCGAGACAGCCGCTCCTCTAACATATGCTTCACCCCACTGATTTGTGACAAGTGAGAAAATATGCTTGGCAACAAAAGCCATTATTTTCTCACAACTGGGATTAGACCCAATAGTTCATTGCAAATATAGCACAGCAAGCTGGACTCGGGGAGGATCCAATTCTTACACAAATACAGAACACACTAACAAGGCCATTTGACTCTCAGTTGTTTTTATGCCCCCTTCAGAGTATCCCTTCAGAGCCCTCCCTAAAAGTTCAGCCCCCTTCATAACAAAAATACCTCAGATGTATTTCCCAGCGCTTTGTCATGCCGTGTTTGAGCAGCACACGCGGTTTCCCCTGGGAGAGCCCTCAGGCACACGCGGAGCCAAGGCTGGAGCCCGGCCCCACTGCGGAACCCCAGCTGCGGCAGGTGAAGCCAGCACAGCCCCAGGAGCGCCGGGCTCTCGGTGCGATGCCGAGGAGCAGGGCTCAGTCCCAGGCTGGCAGGGCATTTTTCAGAGCCCACGCTTGTCCGTGGGACGCTCCCGCTGCCGGCACCTCTGGCACTGCCTTCCCTCCACAGCAGCAGGGGACGGGGTGCCAGCGGGCCATCCGCCTTCTCGTGAGGGCTGCAGCCAGGAGAGGCCTGCTCGGGCCCCAGCAGGGACAGCATCGAGCCTGAACAGCCAAGGGGCTGCAGGGCTCACAGCCTGGAGCATCCCAGACAAATGCCAGGGGTGCCTGCATGCGCTGCACAGGTCCCTGTGGAGCAGTGAAAGCAAACAGCCCAAAGCTGCCCGAGCCTCCCCTCGCCTTCCTTCCGTGTGATTAGTAACATCACTGCCTAGACAAAGACAAGAGATATGGCTCCTGGTAAAACAAAGAACAAGACAAGCCTTTTATCTGATACAAGTGTTCCAGGTTTAAAAAAAAAAAAAAAAAAGAAAGAGACATGAAAACACTTCTCTCCAGCATGAAAACAGCTCCTGTGACACTGGACACTGGCATTTTTCAGGTATTTTCATGTGTGTCTGAAATCCCCAGCCCGTGCTGCAGCACTTCGTGTGCACAGCCCCAGTTCTCCCTCGTACCCACAGCAAGCCCCCACACTGCGAGCGCTGGGCTGTGAGGCAACAACTCCGTCTGCAACCACTCAGAAGGGAAGTGAAAGTGTAAGATAGCATATCTTAAACCCAGTGACTTCTCTCCTGGGAAACCCCTGCCCTGGACCATCCCCTCGTTTAATGCAAAGGGCAAAGGCAGATGAGAACAGCCCCTCAGTGTCCAAGAACAAATATCACCGCTGACACGGTGACAATGAAGCCTTGAAATGATTAATAATAAGCTTAGCAAGTACAAGCAGAAGGAGGCAAAGCTCTGCCACGGAGAGGCACAGCAACAGCAGATCCCACACGCTGCTCCTCACGCGCTCCCCGTCCCGCTCCTGTCCTTGCACACGATGGTGGCTGCCAAGGCAGAGGCATTTGTCATACACTTTGATACTCCAAATCCACAGGAGCTACTGACAGCAGATTTCCTTTAAAAACTGTCTCTGAATGCAGATCTGAAAGCAGCCAGCCTGGCTCCTGAGGAGGCAGCAGGGAACAACAAGCGTTTCGGGTGAAGCACAGCACCCAGTTCCCTTCCACAGGCAGCACTGCCTGCACGACAGCCAGTGCTCCTGGGACACAAGGAACCAAAAAAACAACCAAAGGAATCCAAACAGTGGCTACTGTTAACTTCAGCTGAGCCTCAAGGCCAAGCTTCCCACAGATCAAGAGTGAGAACAGATATAATGGTGTGTTGCAATTATGTCCAATTTAAGAACAGAACCAGCACTTCAAACCACACATCATGAGTGCCAGATGGGAAGAGAGCTGGCCAGAGAGTGCCCAGAGCAGGCACCAATGCCAACCACAGCTTCCCTGGCTCTGGGAACAGCTGGGCAGCTGCCTCTCCAGGCTCTCTCTCACCTCCTGGACAATGTTGTCCAGGGATGCCACAGTCTTTCCTCTCTGACACTAAGGAGAAGGCAAACCTGCCTGCAGAAGAAATCCTCACTTGGC